CTTTAGCATTTGCCAGAGAACACCAAGATTGGCAAATTCGCCACTGGCGCCCTGTGCTCTTCACAGGTGAAAGCAGGTTCACACTGAGCACATGTGACAGACGTGACAGAGTCTGGAGACGCCGTGGAGAACGTTCTGCTGCCTGCAACATCCTCCAGCATGACCGGTTTGGCGATGGGTCAGTCATGGTGTGGGGTGGCATTTCTTTGGGGGGCCGCACAGCCCTCCATGTGCTCGCCAGAGGTAGCCTGACTGCCATTAGTTACCAAGATGAGATCCTCAGACACCTTGTGAGACCATATGCTGGTGCGGTTGGCCCTGGGTTCCTCCTAATGCAAGATAACGCTAGACCTCATGTGGCTGGAGTGTGTCAGCAGTTCCTGCAAGAGGAAGGCATTGATGCTATGGACTGGCCCGCCCGTTCCCCATACCTGAATCCAATTGAGCACATCTGGGACATCATGTCTCGCTCCATCCACCAACGCCACGTTGCACCACAGACTGTCCAGGAGTTGGCGGATGCTTTAGTCCAGGTCTGGGAGGAGATCCCTCAGAAGACCATCCGCCACCTCATCAGGAGCATGCCCAGGCATTGTAGGGAGGTCATACAGGCACGTGGAGGCCACACACACTACTGAGCCTCAGTTTGACTTGTTTTAAGGACATTACATCAAAGTTGGATCAGCCTGTAGTGTGGTTTTCCACTTTAATCTTGAGTGTGACTCCAAATCCAGACCTCCATGGGTTGATACATTTGATTTCCATTGATAATTTTTGTGTGATTTTGTTGTCAGCACATTCAACTATGTAAATAAAAAAGTATTTAATAAGATTATTTAATTCATTCAGATCTAGGATGTGTTATTTTAGTGTTCCCTTTATTTTTTTGAGCAGTGTATAACATCTTGCTTTTTAACACATTTTCAAGAACTGATAACAGGCCATGACTAGATCTCCTTTGTTCTGCATTTGTCACGCCCTGGCTCTGGGACTCTTATATGTTGAGCCAGGGTGTGTAGATTCTATGTGTTTGTGTTTCTATGTTAGGATCTAGTTCATGTGTATCTATGTTGGCCGGGGTGGTTCTCAATCAGAGGCAACGAGAATCAGCTGTTGCTTGTTGTCTCTGATTGGGAACCATACTTAGGCAGCCTGTTTGGCACAGTGTATTGTGGGATCTTGTTCCGTGTTGGTTTGTGTTTGTTACCAAGGACTTCACGTATCTTTTGTTGTTTTTGTTCGTGTGGTGAATATATAATAAAGTATGTTCGCATTCCACGCTGCGCATTGGTCCAATCCTTTTGACGATCGTGACAGAAGATCCCACCAATACTGGACCAAGCAGCGTGTTTCGGAGCTAACGCCGGGTAAGGAGATGGAGAAGTTGGCGATGGCCCAGGTGGGCCAATGGTGGTCATGGGAGGACATGTTCGAGGGCAGAGGACCATGGGCAAAGGTTAAAGCCTTGGCGAGAGAGGAGGTACGGCGCCAACAGTGTTGTCGTCGGACAGGCGAGAGGCAACCCCAAGACATTTTTAGGGGGGGGCACATGGCATGGACGACGGGGCTGCTGGAGGCAGATAAGGGGCGAGTTTGTGGACGAGGAGAGAAGGCCACCGGGTTACGGGAGCCATTGGTGATTAGAGGGAGGGAAAGAGGCACGGCGAGAGGTACTGAAGTGTGTTGCCAGTCCGGTCCGGCCCGTTCCTGATCCCCGTATAAGGCCAGTGGTGTGTGTTCCCAGTGCGGTCCGGCCTGTTCCTGTCCCTCGCACCAAGCCTGTGATGCGCGTCGCCAGCCCGGTCCGGCCTGTTCCTGCCCCTCGCACCAAGCCTATGGTGCGCGTCGCCAGCCCGACCCGGCCTGTTCCTGCCCCTCGCACCAAGCCAATGGTGCGCGTCGCCAGCCCGCCCCGGCCTGTTCCTGCCCCTCGCATCAAGCCAATGGTGCGCGTCGCCAGCCCGGTCCGTCCCGTTCCTGCTCCCCGTACCAAGCCAGGGGTGCGCGTCGTCAGCCCGGTCCGGCCCATTCCTGCTCCCCGCACCAAGCCTGTGGTGCGCATCGTCAGCCTGGTCCGGCCCGTTCCTCCTCCCCGCACCAAGCCAGGGGTGCGCGTCGTCAGCCCGGTCCGGCCCATTCCTGCTCCCCGCACCAAGCCTGTGGTGCGCATCGTCAGCCTGGTCCGGCCCGTTCCTCCTCCCCGCACCAAGCCAGGGGTGAGCGTCGTCAGCCCGGTCCGGCCCGTTCCTACTCCCCGCACCAAGCCAGGGGTGCGCGTCGTCAGCCCGGTCCGGCCCATTCCTGCTTCCCGCACCAAGCCTGGGGTGCGTGTCGTCAGTCCGGCACAGCCCGTGCCCGGTTCACCGGTGCCTGGTCAGGTACCGGTCAGCTGCTCCACACCGGAGCCTAAGCAATCCGCTCCACCGATGTCCAGTCCAGCTCCAGCCAGCGGGACCAGACCAGGGGCACTACGGGGGGGTTATTAGAGGGTGGTGGTCACGCCCGGAGCCGGATCCGCCTCCGAGGAGGAATGCCCACCCGGCCCTCCCCTGTTCGGTTTATGTTTGGCGCGTTCGCAGTCCGCGCCTCTGGGGGGGGGGGGGGGGGGGGGGGGGGGGGGGGGGTGTACTGTCACGCCCTGGCTCTGGGACTCTTATATGTTGAGCCAGGGTGTGTAGATTCTATGTGTTTGTGTTTCTATGTTAGGATCTAGTTCATGTGTATCTATGTTGACCGGGGTGGTTCTCAATCAGAGGCAATGAGAACCAGCTGTTGCTTGTTGTCTCTGATTGGGATCCATACTTAGGCAGCCTGTTTGGCACAGTGTATTGTGGGATCTTGTTCCGTGTTGGTTTGTGTTTGTTACCAAGGACTTCACGTATCGTTTTGTTGTTTTTGTTTGTGTGGTGAATATATAATAAAGTATGTTCGCATTCCACGCTGCGCATTGGTCCAATCCTTTTGACGATCGTGACAGCATTGTACTTTTACTACAAGCATGTGGAAAGTAAATATACATATAGTTTATACAGAGCGATAACAGATATCTAAAGATAAATTGGTACATTTTCAATAATATTCCCTGTTAGATCGGAGACCTAGACATGTTGGCCCATACAGACAATACTCTTATACCTCATGAAAGTAAAACTTTAAGAAATGTACATACCTCTCTTCGTAGGTTTTAATAAAGGCTTTGATAAATGTCCATGAAATAAGGCAATTAAGGACTGAAAATTAAACGTTTCTTTGTAATCCAAATTGTGTAGCAGTAGGCCTAAGTAGCTCATACTTGTAATTAAAACTTGTCTCATTGAGTGGATTTCAAATTCGCCGCATAGATGCTATCAAACAAGACACCCATGCACATCAATATAAATGAGTTCCTTAGAAAACTATTAACATTGGGTTTGTGTTTGAGAAATTACAAAATAAATAAAAAAAGAGAAAACCCTCAAAATGGCAATACTTTAAGTCTGTACACATTTGTTGCATTCCTTCCTCGGCTTTACACGCTAGTACAGTTAGGAATCTCCCTTGTGCTCTCGCAGGCATTTCCAATTCGCCCTGGGGTAGAGAGAAAAAAAACACAACATAAGAACAATGTGGGTTAGTCCACTAGTAGTAGAGCCTTTGATGCCTGTGAAACAAATAACTACTTGGACATTGATACGGCCTGTTAATTACTTGGGTTTCATTACAATGTCATATCAAAAGCTCTTAAGCTGTTGTTTCATGTGTGGGACATTAGTGGCTGACCCATTCGTTAGTTTGTTTCCTTGTTTTCTTCTGAAGATACAGTACCCCTCCTTTTTCCTACCAGTTAATTCCATGTAAAGAAACAATGTAGACTTTCTAAACACTATGTATTGTATACACTGCAGGTCAAAAGTCAACATTGTTATACATGGAGATATGACCCATATGTGTTCTAGTCCAATACAATTAGTTTGGACAATGTATGTGTAATATTGGTGGATCTTTCTCAACAAGGAAGTTCAAAGTCACCAAATCAGTAACTTGCTAATAACAGAATAAACAACGATTTATCAGACTATGTATCTTACGTTTAACCCTGGCGTCCATCTCCTTCTCACTGAGGGTGATTTAGACGTGCTGTCATTCTGGCTGACCGAACCGATCATCTCATGCTCTTTCTCCTGGTTCACCTCTGCTTATATGTTAATCCAGGGGATTTTTCTGCAGATTGGTAAATGTAGACAGACAACAGCCATGTTACAATAAGCAATGACTAGTCAATGATGGTCCGTCCCATTGGCAGCATTTCTCAAAGATGTATATTACACTTTTAGTTCAGAGTTCGTATGATGACAAGACTAAATTAACCCCTGTACATGTTATTATCATGAAGCCACTAAGAAAATCTTAATCTACGCATCATTAAATTCCCATTTGACATCAATGTCTAGTAGTGATATAAGACTGTAATCCTAATGCATATACATTTTGCATAATCTCTGAAAAATCTTTCCCCATTGATATTTATGATTAGAAATATGTGTTTAATCGACTCGTACTTCAATTTATTTCAAATTACAAGCAATTTTGTTATTTAATTGTTTTGCTTTGTTGTGTGTGACATTTCAATAAATCTGTTTCCTCTTTAGATTAATGCAGGAAATTCCATATCCATAATTGATGCGTTTTCCGCAGACTTTTCCATCATTCAATAATTCAGCTACTAACAGCCAAAGTACGACAACAGCATATTAACCAATTTAATGATAGTTTTCTTAACATAACATCACTGATTCACACATGTGCCTCATGCATCCAGATCACTCTAAATCTGTTTACTACATCTACAGAATAATTTGAAAAGATATTTCAAAGGAATGTAATTAGTTCATCGTTCATTTATGCAGGCTCTATCAATCTAGCATATTATTATAATATGCATTTTTAAAGATGATGGCAGGTGATTAGATTAGTGATGGGATACAGTGTTCAAATATATAATCATACAGTACTGTACATACCTCTTGAATTTGTAGATGAGAAACACTGCTAAACCCAGGAATACTACTGATAGGAGCATCAGCATGGCTGAACTGCTGTGTCTCGGGCTGGAATCCACCAAGGGTGCTGTAACAGAGGGTAGAGGAAGACCAACGTTAAACATAACAAGAACATAGCAACACAATAAAGGCTGTTGTTTTTTGAGATTTTCTTGCTTCATTGCCAAAATTGAACCTATACTTTGTTGTATCACCAATAACAACCATGGAGTACAGTTGAGATATATTTTTTGCATCGCAATAGTCTGGTACAGTAGGGCTATATACATTCAATGCATATGCTTTACTTGAATCAATTTGTTTAAAACAAATGTGTATTAAACAGGACCACAGTGTACAATAAAGTTTTGTTTTGGAGCCACAACATTGTCAAAAAACTATTCCCTTTCAGTGGCCCGTATACAGCAACAAATGTCATTTATTTTGTCTGATATGTGTGATGATGTAGTCTAGGCCCAAAACAACAGAGCTGGGACAAGGGACGACTTCGCCACCAAGTTTATGCAACAGTAAATAAATCTGGCTATGGATTATGGGTAGATCCACGGCAATGATAGTGCATTATGAGAACCTGCCCTGTTTATAATTTCACAAAATCAAAAGACGGTTGTAGTGTGAAATTGCTATTTCTAATTGGTTGCCTTTCCTCCAACTAAAAGCCATCTGCTTAAAACAAGCATAGCAACATTCATATTCTGAGGTAAATACTAAATTATGGTAAAAACTAGCCTTTTACAATGACAACTGTCACAAATATAGTGCAACACAGCAACACTTACTGTGGAATAAGTGTGTGATGCTGATTATCCTATTCAACACCTCATTCTCACCCTCTCTCTGGGGTATTACATTGACTTTGAAATGAATATTAGTATATTTTCTACTTTGTATTTTTTCCAGCCCCAGCTCTGAGAGGCGGCCAGTGATGTCGATGGCCTTTCTGAAGCAGCTTGAAGGCTCTTCCTACCTTTTCTGAGATGACACACACACACACACACAAATCTTTTCCATTGTGAAGCAGGTTTTGTGTTGTTTCTGGGTGGACACTGGCAAATCATTTGAATTGCAGCCAAGAGTAGTTATTTATTTGTCTCACTTCAAGCCAACACTCAAACTGGTGTAATGTTGATGATAATTTTTTTGTGATTCTGAATTCTGCATGCATTTATAACCAAACTTCTCTTTTTTTGTCCTTTTCTCAAGGACTAAATAATCAACATAATTATACTCAGTGCAACACTCATTTTGTGGTTGGATGGCTGTAAAAGACAGTGAACAGATGTTGGGCGTATTGATATAAAAGATCCCTTGTCTCAAGGAGTTCCACTTAAAATAAAATCCATCATCCCTTTCCTCCCATGTCCTCCTCCAATCTTCATACACCCAGGATGGTGACAAACATATCATGCATTTTTTTAAATACAGAACAAAAAAAGTGTTTGGTTTATGCTATCCAAATATGGCTTATAAAGAGATTATCTCCAGTAAATGACATTGCATTTACGACATTGTCACGATCATTTATGGAAGATACGGACCAAGGCGCAGCGTGATAAGTGTACATTTTATTAAGTACTTAACTCACGACAAAACAACAAACAAACGAAACGTGAAGTCCTAGGTTACACAAAACAAACCTTAACGGAACAAGATCCCACACCGACTAGTGCCAAACAGGCTGCCTAAGTATGGACCCCAATCAGAGACAACGAGATACAGCTGCCTCTGATTGGGAACCACCCTGGCCAACATAGATCTAAACGATCTAGAACATCAACATAGAAAATATAACACAGAAACTACACACCCTGGCTCAACATTTCAGAGTCCCCAGAGCCAGGGCGTGACAGTACCCCCCCCCCCCCCCCCCCCCCCCCAAAAGGCGCGGACTGCGACCGCGCCACACAAACACAACAGGGTAGGGGCCGGGTGGGCATTCCGCCTCGGAGGCGGATCCGGCTCCGGGCGTGACCACCACTTTCTCTCCACCTCCCCGTTGCGCCCCTGATCTGGTCTGGCACCGCTGACTGGAGCTGGACCCGACGACGGTGGATCAAACCGTACAGGCTCCGGACTGGAGCCGCTGGCCGGAGCTGGACTGGACACCGGTGGAGCGGATTGCTCTGGCTCCGGAGTGGATCCGCTGACTGGAATTGGAGCGGACCCCGGTGGAGCGGATTGCTCTTGCTCCGGAGTGGAGCAGCTGACCGGTGCCGGACCAGGCACCGGTGGAACAGGCACGGGCCGTGCCGGACTGGACACACGCAACACTGGCTTGGTGCGGGGAGCAGGAACGGGCCGGACTGGGCTGACGACGCGCACCACTGGCTTGGTGCGGGGAGCAGGAACGGGCCGGACCGGGCTGACGACGCGCACCACTGGCTTGGTGCGGGGAGCAGGAACGGGCCGGACCGGGCTGACGACGCGCACCACTGGCTTGGTGCGGGGAGCAGGAACAGGCCGGACCGGGCTGGCGACGCGCTCCACTGGCTTGGTGCGAGGGGCAGGAACAGGCCGGACCGGGCTGGCGACGCGCACCACTGGCTTGGTGCGAGGGGCAGGAACAGACCGGGCTGGCGACGCGCACCACTGGCTTGGTGCGGGGAGCAAGAACGGGCCGGACCGGGCTGACGACGCGCACCACTGGCTTGGTGCAGGGAGCAGGAACAGGCCGGACTGGGCTGGCGACGCGCACCACTGGCTTGGTGCGAGGGGCAGGAACAGGCCGGACCGGGCTGGCGACGCGCACCACTGGCTTGGTGCGAGGGGCAGGAACAGGCCGGACCGGGCTGGCGATGCGCACCACTGGCTTGGTGCGAGGGGCAGGAACGGGCCGGTCTGGACTGGGAATACGCACCACTGGCTTGGTGCGGGGAGCAGGATGGGCCGGACCGGGCTGACGACGCGCACCACTGGCTTGGTGCGGGGAGCAGGAACAGGTCGGACCGGGCTGGCGACGCGCACCACTGGCTTGGTGCGAGGGGCAGGAACGGGCCGGGCTGGACTGGGAATACGCACCACTGGTTTGGTGCGGGGAGCAGGAACGGGCCGGACCGGACTGGGAACACGCACCACCGGCTTGGTGCGGGGAGCAGGAACGGGCCGGGCCGGACTGGGAACACGCACCACTGGCTTAGTGCGAGGAGCAGGAATGGGTCGGGCCTTACTGGGAACACGCACCACTAACTTAGTGCGGGGATCAGGAACGGGCCGGACCGGACTGGTGACACACACCACTTGCTTGGTGCGAGGAGCGGGACTGGGTTTCCTTATAAACCTCCGCTCCTTCTGCTGCCTAACCAGTTCCTCTCGCCGTGCCTCTACACTCTCCCTCTCCCTTAACGCCTCTTGTAGCTCCTCCCTCTGACCAATTAACTCCTGCTCCCTCTGGACCAATAGCCCCCGTAACCTGGTGGCCTCCTCTCCTAGTCTGCAGATTCGCCCTGTAGCTGCCTCCTGCTGCCCCGTCGTCCACGCCGTGTGCCCCCCCCCAAAAAAATGTCTTGGGGTTGCCTCTCGCGTGTCTGTCGTCAGCACGGTTGGCGCCGTTTCTCCTCTCCTGCCTGGGCATTTACCTTTACCCATGGCCCTTTCCCCGTGAATATCTCCTCCCATGACCACCATTTGCCCACCTGAGACATCGCTATCTTCTCCTCCTGGGCACACTGCTTGGTCCTCTGTTGGTGGGATCTTCTGTCACGATCGTTTATGGAAGATACGGACCAAGGCGCAGCGTGATAAGCGTACATTTTATTAAGTACTTAACTCACGACAAAACAACAAACAAACGAAACGTGAAGTCCTAGGTTACACAAAACAAACCTTAACGGAACAAGATCCCACACCGACTAGTGCCAAACAGGCTGCCTAAGTATGGACCCCAATCAGAGACAACGAGATACAGCTGCCTCTGATTGGGAACCACCCTGGCCAACATAGATCTAAACGATCTAGAACATCAACATAGAAAATATAACACAGAAACTACACACCCTGGCTCAACATTTCAGAGTCCCCAGAGCCAGGGCGTGACAGACATCACAAAAAGAAACAAACACAGCTAAAAAAAGGCAGAATATGTAGAGAAAATTATGATTTCTCATGCAAGTACATACAGTTAATTTATGTAATTATCTTGATACTAACTTTTTTCCATACCCAAGTTAGCTGTGTGATGTAAACGATTACTCTTTCTCCTGGCTTTAGCTCAAACTCCACCAGATTCTGGTCCAGAGCGCAGGCAAGTATCTCAGAGATCTGTTGAAGGAGATGAAAGAAGCATAATTTAGTTAAACAATTGTCACCATTTACAGCTCTTTCAATTCACACACTGCATATTTAAATAATATTTGCCATCTTGTCATGACACCCACCACATTGGTTCAGTTATCTCAATTGTCAGACTCGGGCGCGTAGAATGAATGTGTGTCATTTTAGCCATGACAATGTAATTATCCTATTGGGTGAATTGGTGTGAAGGATTGGAAACAATTAGTCATATATGCCATGACAGAATTACAATGACACTCAAAATGTCAGCGTCCAATCTAACTGTCCCATACCTGCTTTAGCTCCTCTTCGCTCTTTTTCCTGCCCTCTGATTGGTTCTTGTGTGGTAACAGGAAGAGCTCAGCGGCCGTTGGCACACCTGGAAACACTGCAACCAATAGCTGATCCTCTGGAAAGTCTGACACCTGTTGACAATGGACAGTACTGTTACAATATGTTCATACTTGTATAGTATTCTTTGTCTACAGTCAAAAACAATGCTTTTAGAGTATATGCATATTTAACATGTTTGAAATCAAAGGAGAGGGAGGTGACAACGAAATAGTTTTGGGCTTGACCAACATGTGTTGATAACCCAGTACAACCTACAGGTAAAAAATGATACAATATGTCACCAAACCAATAGATGATAATCCAACATTAATAGGACATTCTTATCTCAACCGCCATGTTTTTTACGAAAGTGTATTTATTTCTTGATAGGAAAAGTAGGTCTTGCCAACCAACAGTTTTTCCAGGCCTTCAAAATAGCTACCATTAAATGTTATTTTCTTTATAATGGCCTTTTTCCACTTCAGACCACCTATGAGGCAGGGGGTTCCAACCGGTAATCAGTGCCCATTTTAAAAGCCATTCATGTTTTAATGGGTTCTCTATGGTGCTATCGGCAGACAATGGAGTGGTGTAGTCGGTGAGTCACATACACTTAAAGCACATTAATTATCAAGCATAAAAATCTGTATTTGAGTAGCAAAATAGTGGACAAATAGAGAGCAAAGGAATGACTCACAATGAGAGTAAATAGGCATAGAAGGAAAGGAGAGGGATAGGGAAGGGGATAGGATGCAATAGCCCCTGTAAAAATCAATACACTCAGGCCGGTTTGATCTCTTTGCGATCACTCATTAGTCTAAAAAGCCTTCTGGCTCTGTGTGCTTGGGTAGCACTGGCATTTTATGTCCCCCAAACTCATTGGCTGGAGTGAAACATCTGATCTGGGTTAAGGGAGGGGAGAAGGTGAGTCAGACTGAGTCAGATGAGTGAGCTTTTAGGAGGGAATTTTGGCCAAGCTCAAATGTGGCTGAAAAAACACGTCTACCGGGCTTTATCTTGACACTTTAATATTTGAACAGCAAAAGCTTTTGGAGCGGCTTCCTCACAATCTTACTGTATGCAAAGCTAAATAAAAAGTGGTCAGTTACTAATTACTGTTGTAAACACACCATGATGTGGATTCTGTTTTTCATTCATCGTGAACTTGACCGTAACTATGAACTATGACAATACTAGGTTATGATGATTTACCTATAACTATCATTTTATTCTCTGATGTGAAGTACAGTCATTACCCAGGAAAGGAAAGGTGGGGCGAGAGCATGAAAGGGAGGCCCAGAAGCAGTGCACTCTCTTGGGGAAAAAAGATGACATGTTAACCTCTTGCACCACACTGAGAGGTGCATTAACAGGTGGCGGTGAAACCAGCGGGGGGCTTCCGACAGTCACTGTCTAGTTTTTCCGAGCTACCGTCCTTCTAGATCTGCATTGCTTGCTGTTTGGGGTTTTAGGCTGGGGTTCTGTATAGCACTTTGTGACATCTGCTGATGTAAATAGGGCTTTATAAATAAAATGTGATTGATTGAAACTCCTGAGTGGCGCAGTGGTCTAAGGCACTGCATCGCAGTGCAAACTGTACCACTAGAGATCCTGGTTCGAATCCAGGCTCTGTTGCAGCCGGCCGCGACCGGGAGACCCATGGGGCGGCGCACAATTGGCCCAGCGTTGTCCAGGGTAGGGGAGGGAATGGCCGGCAGGGATGTAGCTCAGTTGATAGAGCATGGTGTTTGCAACGCCAGGGTTGTGGGTTCGTTTCCCACGGGGGGCCAGTATAAAAAAAAAAAGTGTTCACTAACTGTAAGTCGCTCTGGATAAGAGCGTCTGCTAAATGACTAAAATGTAAATGATTGATTTGAACCTGAGAGGGAGTCTTCTGCCATCTTCCATGTACCGCAAGGGGAGTAAAGAAGAAGCCGGAGAAACCGAAGATGGAATGACTTCTGAAAATAACTTCAAATAGCCTCTATTACTGAACTCCCCATTCAAACCTTTATGAGGTGGTGGGTTGGAATCAGCTGAGGAGCAAAAGTGCAGCCCTGCCTGGCTCTCACTATTGTCAGCCATAGAGCTGTACTGTAGTACAGCAACACTGCAGCTTAATGGACCCTGACTTTAAATGCGATGTTGCTGCCCCTTTTCCTTCTAATCATCTTCACTTTATTGAGGGGAGATGTTTACTTTGACACATGATGAACTGAACACGAACCGCAGCAAGATAAAAAGAAATGAAGAAATAAATGTAATAACACTTTGTATGGCGGTTATTGCACAATATCTAGGCTATGAACCAACTCTAGCAGTACATGGATGAATAGGTCTTACTATGATTTCCTTTCAGAGAAAGAGTGAAAGAGTGAAAGGAGGGATGGTTTGATAGCATTAAACAGAATATGGAGGAGATTAACTAGTGTTCATAAACTCAATAGAGACCTGAAACCCATATACCGTTGAATGTATTTACTTTAGGTATTAAAAGGTTGTATAACAAAACTTTCAGAATGAAAAGAGGTGCTGTAACACTCTATTGAGGCTAGCAATTAATAACTCAAGCTAGAGCTATGACTTTCTATAACTGAGTGTGCCCCTCAGTTCAACACAATTCAATTGGCTGGTGCTAAAAACATCCCCACAGCATGATGCTGCCACCACCATGCTTCACCGTAGGTATGGTGCCAGGTTTTCGCCAGACTTGACGCTTGGCATTCAGGCCAAAGAGTTCAATCTTGGTTTGATCAGACCAGATAATCTTGTTTCTCATTGTCTGAGAGTCCTTTCGGTGCCTTTTGTCAAACTCCAAGCGGGCTGTCAAGTGCCTTTTACTTAAGAGTGGATTCCGTCTGGCCACTCTACCATAAAGGCCTGATTGGTGGTGCTGCAGAGATGGTTGTCCTTCTGGAAGGTTCTCCTATCTCCATAGAGGAACTCTGGAGCTCTGTCAGAGTGACCATCGGGTTCTTGGTCACCTCCCTGACCAAGGCCTTTCTCCACCGATTGCTCAGTTTGGCCGGGCGGCCAGCTATAGGAAGAGTCTTGGTGGTTTCAAACTTCTTCTGTTTAAGAATGATGGAGGCCACTGTGTTGTTGGGGACCTTCATTTCTGCAGACATTTTTTGGTACCCTTCCCCAGATCTGTGCCTCGACACAATCCTGTATCGGAGCTCTACGGACAATTCCTTTGACCTCATGGCTTGTTATTTTTGCTCTGACATGCACTGTCAACTGTGGGACCTTATATAGACAGGTGTGTGCCTTTCAAAATAATGTCCAATCAATTTAATTTACCACAGGTGGACTCCAATCAAGTTGTAGAAACAGCTCAAGGATGATCAATGGAAACAGCTATATTTCGAGTCTCATAGCAATGGGTCTGAATACTTATGTATATGTGATATTTATGTTTTTTTATTTTTAATACATTTGCAAAAAGTTCTAAAAACTTATTTTTGCTTCATCATTTTGGGCTATTGTGTGTAGATTGATGAGGAAAAAATTGATTCAATCCATTTTAGAATGAGGCTGTAACGTAACAAAATGTGGAAATGTCAAGGGGCCTGAATACTTTCCGAATACAGCGTATGTTGCTCCCAGGTGACAAAGTGCAATCCGTCACAAAGCCTCACCCTGACCTCTATCACAGTAGCTCCCTCCACTGGCTCTCAGCCTAGCTCGTCTGAGTCGCCTCTCATGTCATATCCACTGTGGAGATGGTGAATAACTGGCTCCATTGGCTCCAGAAACAGACCGTTAATTCAGCTCCTGATCTAGGTGCATTTTTCTCAAAGTATCCTCCTCATTCCCCACTGTCATTTGTTCTAGTTGTGTCCCTCCTCTAACTGTCTTCTGATGGGTGGGAAAGCTGACAGAGATGTTGGTGTGTGTGAGTGTGTCCGTATGCGTGTGTGTGTTCATGGTTTGACAAAGGGAGATGATTGCTCGTACAAGTGCTTTCTTAGATAATTGGGGAAGCGTCCTCTTCGCATTTATCCTGACATATTCAAATGTAAAGTACCCTCAAACGTTGCATACCAAGTGAGATGGCTGCTAGATGTGCAAATTAGCATTACATCAAGTATAATTATTTGATTAGGGAGATCCGAGAGAGAGAGAGAGAGAGAGAGAGAGAGAGAGAGAGAGAGAGAGAGAGAGAGAGAGAGAGAGAGAGAGAGAGAGAGAGAGAGAATACTGATCCTTACCTTGGTCTGCTATCATCTTGGTGTCTTGCACAATGGTGTTGGCTGAAAACACTTGGACAGTAACAGTGTTCATTCCCTCGCTGGTGAAGGTGTACGAGATGCTGCCGTCTAAGCTGATTACCGGCTGGAGGAAGAGGGAACATGGACAAAATGGATGATCACACTTTGATCCGGTCATAATCCCTTCACCTAAAACCCCGGAACATGAAAGAAACCCATTTCAGATGATAACAACTTCTCCTTGAACTTCTCACTTAGCGTAGACAGAACTTTTGACTTGAGTAGTTAGAGTAGTCAAAATTCTGACTTTAGTAAAACCCTACAAAAAACATCCTCCCCATAAGACCGAGAACCAATGCAGCTAAGGTAATAACTTATAACATACAAGATCAGAGACTGCTCCGTCACTATCACAGCCACCTTCGATCATAGAAGAGGTCAATGTACCTAAAAACATAGACATTTTGTATACCTCATATAACATCAGTGGAGTCTAGTGAAGGGAGGACGGCTCATAGTAATGGCTGAAGTGGAATGGAACTGGAATGGAAACCATGTCTTTGATGTGTAAAATGCTTTTCCATTTATTCCGTTCCAGCCATTACAATAATCCCGTCCTCCGATTTAGTTAAAGTGACACCAGCCACAGCTGCAGTACATGTACAGTATATGGCATTATAGGGTAAGACCCTTTTTGAATAGTGTCAGTTTACCTCTACTAATGTTGTACAGTTGGTACCGCACATACAGTATACTGTATACTATACACAACATCAGAAGAGGATCTGTTTGCACAATGTGGTCTCACTACTGGAGTCCCACAGGGCTCGGTTCTAGGCCCTCTTCTCTGTACACCAAGTGTTTTAAGTCCAGTTTACCTCAGTGCTGTTCCCAAGCCACCAGAAGTAGCTGAGGGTCCTGGAGTGGATTGGCCAGACCACTGCTGTTAGGTTTACTTCCTTGTTCTTGATGACCACAAATTGAGCCAGCAGCTGGACATGTTCCACAGCACCTGATACAAACACAGAGGATGATTCAAACTCAGCTCTGGATGATTTAGACTCAGCATTGGATGATTCAGACTCAGTATTGGATGATTCAGACTCAGTATTGGATGATTCAGACTCAGTATTGGATGATTCAGACTCTTTATTGGATGATTTAGACTCCATATGGGATGATTCAGACTCCATATGGGATGATTCAGACTCAGTATTGGATGATTCAGACCCAGTACTGGATGATTCAGACTCAGTATTGAATGATTCAGACTCAGTATATGATTGTAATTACATGGATATTTTTTCAGACTACCTACTTTACAATATGAAAAGCACTCGCACATCAAAATATTATTTTTAGAGGGGCGTGGGAAAAAATAAATAGAGAATTAAGAATTAGAGAAAAGAAAATCCCTCACACTGCGCTTGCCAGTATAACTTATCATTATCACTGGGGTAGTGTGTGGGTCTTCTTTTCAATAAGACTACTTTAGCTGAAAAGGGAAGTTGAATGAAATCTTACTCAATAACTGTCATAATGTTTTATAGTTTTGATGGAATTTACTTGAAGAACAAGATTTATTCTAGACTTAAAACACATTGGCGTTGTCATGTTTTTGTCATGATACCTTGTGATTAATATTGTGGTCTCCCATGCTGAGACCGTAATGGAAGCTGACGTGGGTAACGTGGCATTACCGTCATCTAAGCGGTGAAGTTTCCTATAGCGGAGAGATATTACACGGTATTTTAACAGTAAAACTCTGTTGTGACTCTGCGCTCTAGCGTGTACGTCTCCGCCTGGGCTTCTGTTAACTCTTATCCTCTTTAACTGAGACTAATCTTTATCCTTATCCTAGCTTTCAAACGCATGCAGTGTATGTGTGTGTCTGTGTGTGTGTGTGTATGTTTGTGTGTGTTTGTGTGTGTGTGATGTGTGTGACAGAGAGAGAAAGCGTGTGTATCTGTGTGTGTGTCCCTTCTAAGCCTGTGTCTATGTGTATGTGTATGTGCATGTGTGTTGAGTGTGTGTGTGCAGGCGCATGAGTGATGTGAGTCATTTGGACAGGCTCCCTAAACTGTGTTTGGTGTTAAAAATATTCCAATTGGAAATCTGTGGCGGCATCGTGCTTGGCACATTGCTAAAAGCATCGCCTGCACGCTCTCTCCCCTGTGAATTACCTCAAAATGTACCAAACCATGGAGAAAAAAACACCAGCAGAATCAATGCCATCAGAAATATCAAAGTACACTGATTGAAAGTATCGTGGCGACCAGAGACAACATTTAAATGGCACCTTCACGTCTCTTGTTCAAACCCCCTCGTCTCTTGATCAAATCAAGAGATGAGGGGTGCAATTCAAACACTGCACCGCAAAGAGCTGGATAATTCTTGAGCCTTTTAGACATAAGCATGTTATATTTGTCACTATTATTTACTTGACATTTGGTTTGTTCATTACAAGATGATAAGTGCAAGACAGCATCATTGTGCTGTACTATGTGCAAAGCATTCTGGTACTTGCCTATAACTGGCTCCATTGTACACTGCTCTATACTTAGTAAGGTGGTTATTTACAGAGAAATATGAGGCAGATATATTCAATTATGATCCTTGAGAACCACATCACTGTTGTTTTCCATCCTTTCCCTCCAATCAGAGACTGATCCAGACCTGGGTCACCAGGTGAGCGACTACTCTGGCCAATCAATGGCCGACGTCACAGTAACTGACCAATTATCAGAAGTAAAACCAGAAGTACTTCAGTCCTCGATGGCGGGAATTGAATAGCCCTGACACAATAGCTGAATGTATAGAGGTGACGTACATGTAACATGGAGGTACAAGGTGGTGGTATAAAATCCCAGGGTGTTCTCCTCCAAGGCCGAGACACGGAATATCCCAGCCGTCTTGTAAACGTGTCTGATCCCCTCTTCGATCCAGCTCAGGTTGGAGTAGGAGACTGCCGTGCCATCTCCGAAATCCAGTTGGATGTTGGTTCTCATTGAGTCACCCTGGAAAGCAAGTAAAGTCTCACCTAAGGACTACAGATGAAGAAAGAAAGAAAGAGTCCCAAACATCATTATTATTTAAAAACACACAAGTCCATTGTATTTGAGAGCCCAGCCAGATGCTTGTACTTGTGTTTATTCTAGACTTAAATACATATCATTGTCAATATCAATGGACACAGGCAGGGCATCATTCTTTGTTTTTGTCAAAAGTCCAAAAGCTGGTGTTGTGACACATCTACATTAGCATGCATCCTGAGTCTGACATGTTACATAACACCACTGGGAGTGTCTGGCTCCTGTGGTGTGTGTGTGTGTGTGTGTTTATGTGCACGTACGTGTCACTGTTGTGTGTGCGTGTGTATATGTGTGTGTGATGGAGAGAGAGAACCACAGGGAGGTTGAGGCAGTGTAGTAATCAAGAGACAGTAGGGTGGCAGGTACACTAGTCAACAGACTGCTGGGTTACATTCACACACAGACACAAGAAGTCAGAACCAGCCGAAACATTTGGGATGCATCATATTCTGGCCGACCGTGAGAGCAGCGTGTTTGCCTGTTACTGCTACTACTCTCTCTCTCTCTGTGTGTGTTTGTGTAGGAGTGCTCTGCCACTACAGTATCTGCAGCAGGTCTACTCAGGGTGGTTACATCTGGCACTTCCCTAGGATCAACAGTCAACACACACACACACATATACAAACACCACAAGTGTTGTTGGTGGCTCCAGCTGCCGCTGCGACCAAACCCTCCCACTTATCCGGCCCGTACCCTGAGAGCAAGCACAACTAACTCCCAGCCTCCCCGTGGCACATTGTAATGCAATGCAATTGGGATCTTTATTTGTTACACTGCATTCGCACGAGGGGGCTCCGTTCCAGCAACAAACACAACAATAGCAAATGGAAAACCCATAATTATCTCTCTCTCCTCAGATAAAGGAAAAAGGGGGCACTTTTCTTTTTTTAAAACCAAAACTTGTTGGACCACAATTGGTTTTTGGTCTGACTTAAAAAACCCAGGGATTCTGGCCCGGGGGTTTTTGTTTTTTTAGTCCACCCTTTGGTGGTGCTTTTAATTGGTTAAAGGAAGAAAACCACGGGAGTGGGTGGGGGGGGTGGGGGGTCACTAGTAAAAACTGTGGGTTTTTAAAAGGGTAGAAGGAAAAAGGGAGCTTTATTTCGGCCCCGGGGAGAGCATTTTTTTGCTTTTAAAACCCCTTCCCCGGGGGGGGAGTGGGCCCAAAAAATTTTGAGCATTCGGGGGGTTTAACCCGGTTCCCTTACGAAAACCCCCCCCCTTAAAACCCCAAGTTTGGGGGGCCCCCGGGAAAACCCCCCCCCCCTTCCGGCCCTCTCTACTCTATCGCTCTCTCTAGCTAGCTATCGAGGCTGCTCTGAGCTCTCTCTATCTCTCAACTCTCTACTCTCTCCTCTATATCATAATATATATAATCTATAATATCTGTTTTGCTTCTTTTCCAGAGCCGCAGAGTGTGGAAAAACCCCGTTAGGGTTGGCTGTGTGGGGGGAAGGAATCTGGGGGTAAATTTCCACGCCAGTTGTACCCATAAAATGGTATAAACTATGTAATAAGCCTAATAAAGAAAGGTAGATAGAAATAATGGAAGAAAAGGGATAAGAGTGGGGCTAGTTGTGTGGAAACTGGTAATGGCCCCACAATCCTTTTGCCAAAAAATGGCACTCGGAATGGCACTTAGGTCTACAGTGGCGTCGATGTCATTCAGGCTTTTGTTGGTGTCCGTTGTTGACACTCTCTGGACATTTCTAGTTCTCTATAGAGGTGTCCTGGGATCACTAGCTAACCTGCATGAGACTGATGCTGGCATGCTGGCTTAATGTCACGCTTTGTGTCCGTGGCTCTGTGTGTGACTCAGAGGGCCACCAAATCCGAAACGCATAATAGGGTCTGGACAGCAGTGCTGGTTGACAATAAGGGGTTTTGTTAGTTCAGATCCAGACACAGCAGGACTGTTTACAGGACTCTTGTTCAGGTGAATGTCAACACACTAAGGATGTTGTAAACAGTGTGATGTCAGTGCTGTCATGCTGACGGTGTGTCATACCTGGGTTCAAATAGTTTTTGCTTTCTTTCAAATGCTTTGAGCGTTTGATTGAGCCTGCCTGGAGAGCTAGATGGACGGATTTGCATATTTAGGACTTTTCCATTGGTTCTGGTTGGTGTACACATGACATGCTATAAAGTAGCTAATGTACAGTAAATATGGTTGGTGTACACATTATATGCTATAAGGTAGCTAATTTACAGTAAATCTGGTTGGTGTACACATGACATGCTATAAGGTAGCTAATGTACAGTAAATCTGGTTGGTGTAGACATGACATGCTATAAGGTAGCTAATGTACAGTAAATCTGGTTGGTGTACACATAACATGCTATAAGGTCACTTTGTGATAATGAAATCTTGACGTGTGACACTACAGATCCTATCCCTCTCTCAAAACATCTAAGTTTCTTCCACCTCTCTCTCTCCTTTTTTTACGTTTTCTGAACATATTAAATATTTAGGCCCATTTGCTCTCCCCAAGAAATACTGCCATCTTGGGCTTCATGAATATAAATTAAAGTCTGAATTCAACGGGAGCGAAGGATTTTCCAAATGCATAAGACCCAACGCCATGAGGATTCCTCACCTCCATTAGTCTCCTCAACTCATCACACTGTAATATGACAGCTTGTCCCGGGAGAGACCTCGTGGGAGAGACACTTACTTCTCAGCTGCAGCGCAGGTGGAAAGCACAACCGCACAGAGCAGAGCGCTACCACACTTATTCCACCTGAATTTAATGTGATGTGGTTTAAAAGTGCCTAGGGAGTGAGGGGAGCAAGGTAAGGTCCTGGCCCTAGAAGGAGGCTACTCTGTGTCTATCACTCTATAACAGGGTCTCCAGGGTGCATCTCTCTCCAAGGTCTTTAGCTCTTACTCTGTCTCTGGGCTCGGAGCTTGGGGCCTGTAGCTGTGTGTGGGTGATGTTATGTTACAAGTTACTACTAAACTTTCAGCAGTTGGTGTATATGGGATGACATAACAGGGAAATAATTTCAGGTGTATGCCTGGAGAAACATCCATGTTGAACATATGGGAAACACATCAAATATTTCACTCAGTAACATAGGTCTACATTGAGTGAGTTGTGCACCACATGCTAGTATTACTTTTACAACCATGCATAACAATACAAAACACATCGATTTTTCATTCCATGGCTTAAGGTAAAAATCAATGCAACTCATAACAGTAATGTATACAACGGCATCCATTTGGGCTCCTAGGCCCAGAACAATGATATACAAAAAGGAGGCCATTTTGGCTTTTGGCCAAGCCCTACCTCATCTAGATGCACCAGGAAGGTGACGTTGGTTCCCAGGTCGGCGGTAAGCTTGCCCTCTCTGGTGGAGAGAGAAAGGCCTTTTGGAGTCCTGTTGGGACACATCTGCTTCCTGGGTGTGTACATGTCCTTGACTCCCTTGATGCAGTTGTTGGACACAATTTTTCGGTACCTTAGAAAGATTCCATATGAATGAGTTAGGACATGTTTAGTGTGGTTTACTGAGGTTATGGCTTAATGACGCTACTTGTTAACAAGGCTAAGGTATTGGTCACGTTCATCAATGAAGCTGACAAGAAATTGCATATTTTTAATTTTTTACCTCAAAGTGATTGTGGAAGTGACAGAGCTAGTGAACAAGACTTGCTATTCTTTGACTAAATTAAAACATGCTTAGTAACTACTAAACAAAACATTACGTTTAACACTGAAAGTTCATGTTTGACACAAGACGTACAGTAGTTGTCGGTCACATTGACAAAACTCCAAAATGCTTACTAACTCCTAGACAACACTTGACTTTTAACCTTAGGGATGCAAATTAATAAATGAAAGATGTACCGTTCTCCTCAGACCTCAGACATCCTGAGGCGTCCTAATCTGTGTCCTAGGACTCCTGACAGTGCTTTGTAGCTCTCAGCAGTACACTATGTCACTCAGTATAGATCTACTGTCTGGTGAATGACTCAGGCCTAAATAGCCAATATCACTATTCACACTAGGAGCCGTACCAGTGGGTGTGACACCCTGACAGTGTTTCATTACAGTGGGAAGATGGGAAGATGATGAAGCATTGGCCAACCTATACAGAGAGATACTGTAGCTACTGTAAGCTTTAATGTGTTTTTGTAGTTCTCTTTTGGAATGTTTGATACCTATTCAGGCTTTTTATCATGGACCATATTATGACCAACATTATGCTTTACAAAATGAAATGGAAAACATTCTAAAAACACAGAAAAAGATTTTACCTTTCGTTGAGCAGAAATATACAGAAGGGTTGCCTTCACTTAGAATAGACAACATAGCAACGATACAAAATAGTGTCCCTATGTGCAACTCACCCTGTGCTGTTGAGGTAGTTCTGTCCTTGGCTGCAGCTCCTTGATACAACAGATGGGTTGAACCAGAACGCTGGTAGACAGTTCTCTTCTCTACGCCGTTCAAAGCCATAATCACTATAACAGATCACATACAGAATGTGATCAATATCAACACTTTGCCTCTAGCTACTCTATTTGCACATATCAACTTCAATTACCTCATACCCTGCACATCAACTCGGTACTGGTACCCATTGTATATAGCCATTGTAAGTTATCGTTACTCATTGTGTATTTATTATTATTTTTCTACATTTTTGTCTCTGCATTGTTGGAAATGGCCCGTAAGTAATCATTTCACTGTTAGTCTACATTTGCTGTTTACGAATGTCACGCCCTGACCTGGAGAGACTGTTATTCTCTAGGTAGTTTGGTCAGGGTGTGAAACTCTGTTAGAATTTCTATGTTTAGGATCTAGATGTGGTGTTTCTATGTTTGGCCGGGTGTGATTCCCAATCAGAGACAGCTGTCGCTCGTTGTCTCTGATTGGGTATCATACTTAAGTAGCCTGTTTGCCTACCTTAGTTGTGGGATCTTGTTCCGTGTTAGGCTTGTATGTGTATAGCCTGAGGACTTCACGTTACGTTGTGTCTTGTTTTGTTTATGTTTATTGGGTTAAATAAACTTGTATGCTTTTCACGCTGCACCTTGGTCTGACCCGTCTCTCAACGATCGTGACAACGAAGCATGTGATTAATACAATTTGATATTATTTTGATCCAAAGGACATACAGTATTACTGTGTTATATGTTACAGCTTCTCTTTCCTATTCCCTCAGCACAATACATATAATAGCAATATTTTTGCATTGCAACGCATCATTATTATATATTGATTGGGCTGCAGTTGACAAATGCTCCAGATCAGCAGAGGTAGGAAGACTGAGCCCTGGGGGACTCCATGTCAACACAGGCAACACAGGTTGACGTTAGCTACCTCCCAATCACAAAGTGATTTACATCGGGCAAAGCAGGTTAGGCAAGTGCCCATTCTAATAATGACGCTGTCATTGATTAATCAATTAATTACCTAGCCAGACCTAACAAAGAAGCAACGAAGCCTGAGGTCCCTCTAGGACTCCCTATGGACGGGTCTGGCCTCAGTGTGATTAGGAACCTCCCCCAATTTATTGACAGGCTGTCAAGTGAAGTTATGATGTTATGGTTGGTCGGGATAATAGTTATAAGGGACCAAGTGAGTCCAATGAGGGTACAGTGTCCAGTTAAGGACATTACAGCACCACAGAATCACAGCTTTGGTAATGCAAGTCAAACAAAAGCATTGTGTCCAGTTTAGTACATTATAGTCGTGCAGACTCCTATGAAGTTTTGGTTACACATTAATACTAATCTCTCCTCACTTATTATTAGATTTTAGATTTTAGATTTTAGTCATTTAGCAGACGATCTTATCCAGAGTGACTTACAGTTTTAGTGAGTGCATACATTTTTTCATACTGGCCCCCCGTGGGAATTATTATTAATATACTATATCAAGTGTTATATCAATGTATATACACTGAACAAAAATATAAACACAACATGTAAAGTGTTGGTCCCATGTTTCATGAGCTGAAAAGATCCCAAAATGTTCCATATGCACAAAAAGCTTATTTCTCTCAAATGTTGTGCACAAATTTGTTTACATCCCTGTTAGTGAGCATTTCTCCTTTGTCAACATAATCCATTCACCTGACAGGTGTGGCATATCAAGAAGCTGATTAAACAGCATGATTACACAGGTGCACCTTGTGATGTGGACAATAAAAAGCCACTAAAAGGTGCAGTTTTGTCACACAACACAATGCCACAGATGTCTCAAGTTTTGAAAGAGCGTGCAATTGGCATAATGACTTCAGGAATGTCCACCGGAGCTGTTGCCAAATAATTGAATGTTCATTTCTCAACCATAAGCCACCTCCAACATCGTTTTCGAGAATTTGGCAGTACGTCCAACCTGCCTCACAACCGCAGACCACGCGTATGGCATCGTGTGGGCAAGCGGTTTGCTGATGTCAACGTTGTGAACAGAGCGCCCCATGGTGGCTGTGGGGTTATGGTATGGGCAGGCATAAGCTACGGAAAACAAACACAATTGCATTTTATCGACAACAATTTAAATGCACATACGAGATCCTGAGGCCCATTGTGAAATATTTTTTTTTTAAGGTATCTGTGACCAACAGATTGCATATCGGGTGGGCATTCCGGGTGGGCATTCCGCCTCGGAGGCGGATCCGGCTCAGGGCTTGACGACCTCTCACTCTTCGCCTCCCTGTTGCGCCCCTGGTCTGGTCTAGACCTCGGCGCGTTGCTTCCCCTCTCCTTCCTCCCACTATACTCCAAGCCCTGTCTGGACCCTGGTGTGGGAGACCCCGAACCTGGAGAGGGGCTGACGTCTGGGTCTGGACTGGAGCCGCTGACCGGAGCTGGACCGGTGGAGCGGAATGCTCAGGCTCCGGACTGGAGCCGCTGACCGGAGCTGGACTAGGCACCGGTGGAGTGGACTGCTCTGGCTCCGGAGTGGAGCCGCTGACCGGATCTGGACTAGACCCCGGTGGAGCGGACTGCTCTGGCTCCGGAGTGGAGCCGCTGACCGGAGCTGGATCAGGCACCGGTGGAGCGGACTGCTCTGGATCCGGAGTGGAGCCGCTGACCGGAGCTGGACTGGACCCTGGTGAAGCGGATTGCTCTGGCTCCGGAGTGGAGCAGCTGACCGGAACTGAACTGGGCACCGGTGGAGCGGACTGCTCTGGCTCCAGAGTAGAGCAGCTGACCGGTGCCGAACCAGGCACCGGTGGAACAGGTACGGGCCATGCCGGACTGGACACACGCACCACTGGCTTGGTGCGAGGAGCAGGAACAGGCCGGACCGGGCTGGCGACACGCACCACTGGCTTGGTGCGAGGGACAGGAACAGGCCGGACCGGGCTGGCGACGCGCACCACTGGGTTGGTGCGAGGGTCAGGAACAGGCGGACCGGGCTGGCGACGCGCACCACTGGCTTGGTGCGAGGGGCAGGAACAGGCTGGGCCGGGCTGGCGACGCGCACCCCTGGCTTGGTGCGAGGGACAGGAACAGGCCGGACCGGGCTGGCGACGCGCACCACTGGGTTGGTGCGAGGGTCAGGAACAGGCGGACCGGGCTGGCGACGCGCACCACTGGCTTGGTGCGAGGGACAGGAACAGGCCGGACCGGGCTGGTGACGCGCACCACTGGCTTGGTGCGAGGGACAGGAACAGGCCGGACCGGGCTGGCGACGCGCACCACTGGCTTAGTGCGAGGGGCAGGAACAGGCCGGGCCGGGCTGGCGACGCGCACCACTGGCTTGGTGCGAGGGGCAGGAACAGGCCGGGCCGGGCTGGCGACGCGCACCACTGACTTGGTGCGAGGGACAGGAACAGGCCGGACCGGGCTGGCGACGCGCACCACTGGCTTGGTGCGAGGGGCAGGAACAGGCCGGGCCGGGCTGGCGACGCGCACCACTGGCTTGGTGCGAGGGTCAGGAACAGGCCCGGCCGGGCTGGCGACATGCACCACTAGCTTGGTGCGAGGGGCAGGAACAGGCCGGGCTGGCGACGCGCACCACTGGCTTGGTGCGAGGGGCAGGAACAGGCTGGGCCGGGCTGGCGACGCGCACCCCTGGCTTGGTGCGAGGGACAGGAACAGGCCGGACCGGGCTGGCGACGCGCACCACTGTCTTAGTGCGGGGAGCGGGAACGGGCCGGACTGGACTGGCGACACGCACCACTTTCTTGGTGCGAGGAGCGGAACTGGGTTCCTTTATTAACCCCCGCTCCTTCTGCTGCCTAACCAGCTCCTCTCGCCGTGCCACTACACTTTTCTTCTCCCTTTTAGCCTCCTGTAGCCTCGCCATCCACCCCGTGTGCCCCCCCCCAAAAATGTTATTGGGGTTGCCTCTCGTGTCTCCGTCTCCGTTTCACCTCTCCTGCCTGGGCATCTACCTTCACCCATGGCCCTTTCCCTGCAAATATATCCTCCCATGACCACAATTTGCCCACCTGTGTCATGGCTATTCGCTCCTCCTGGGCACGCTGCTTGGTCCTCGTTTGGTGGGATCTTCTGTCACGTTCGTTCATAGACGGGTCAGACCAAGGTGCAGCGTGATATGCATACATGTTTATTAGAACCGAATAAACAACGACAAAAACAACAAACTAAACGACACGTGAAGTCCAAGGTACACAAACAACATACCTCACACGGAACAAGATCCCACAACCCACTAGTGCCAATAGGCTGCCTAAGTATGGTCCCCAATCAGAGACAACGAGCGACAGCTGCCTCTGATTGGGAACCACACCGGCCAACATAGATCTAGACATACTAGATCTAAACATAGAAAATACAACATAGACAATCATAACAAGGAATATACACACCCTGACTCAACATATAAGCGTCCTCTGAGTCAGGGCGTGACACCAGGGGAGGGTCAAGTAATTTGTAATCGATTAAATGTCATATTGCTCAGGGTTTGAGAATTAGTTGCTTATTATAGTATCTCAATGTGTGCCCGATGACGCCCCTCATCCCTGATTCTCTGCTGTGCGCGCAATATCAAGTGTGCCTAGTGTGGTCTCAATAAAATGATCCATAGCCTAAACTATATGTTATAGGACTAGGCTACATGAAGAGCATGCTAGGAGAAGCACAGGGCAAAGTTATATTTCTAAGAAAATGTACTTCCTTCCCGAGTTTTGAAATGGAAGACTAGGCCTACCGATGTCCTGTTTAGTTTGAGAGGGAGAGAGCAAAGATGAAAATGAGGACTGGAGGTGAGCTTGCTACTGATATAATTGAAGCTATTTATCAGAGTTATTGACCTCACAAGAAGCCATATTCTAGTAATTTACATACCTTACATTACCATGAAGCAGCAGCAGTTTAATTTGACTCTACTAACAACAATAGGGCTTTGTGTTGAAGCCTATTTCTTCCTATTCAAGAAATAAGAGGTAGACCTGTTTGACAGATGGAATTATAGTCAACTATCCATAGCCTTTGTCAGCCAATTCCTTCAGTCACCGTACACTCCTTATATATCTCAGTGTCAGTGAAGGGCTTGTTGTATTAAGTTAAAACCAGGGCTCGAATAGAGGGGGTATGTGAGGGTATTGTGGTTTTTGTTAAAGAAAATAGCTAAAAGCATAGGCCTACCCCCTTGTTAACTTGTTGTTTTGGGGGAAATATATCCGGACCTGATTATATAAAGTGATCTATAATGACACGTTAGTCCGCAACGCTTTATGCTAGAAACAAGCTGTAAAATGCCGGGTAAAAAAGGATTTGAGTCAATTGAAGGTGTACCTGTGGATGTATTTCAAGGCCTACCTTCAAACTCAGTGCCTCTTTGCTTGACATCATGGGAAAATCAAAAGAAATCAGCCAAGACCTCAGAAAAAAAATAGAAGAAATCCACAAGTCTGGTTCGTCCTTGGGAGCAATTTCCAAATGCCTGAAGGTACCACGTTCATCTGTACAAACAATAGTACGCAAGTATAAACACCATGGGACCACGCAGCCGTCATACCGCTCAGGAAGGAGACAAGTTCTGTCTCATAGAGATGGACGTACTTTGGTGCGACAAGTGCAAATCAATCCCAGAACAACAGCAAAGGACCTTGTGAAGATGCTGGAGGAAACAGGTACAAAAGTATCTATATCCACAGTAAAACAAGTCCTATATCGACATAACCTGAAAGGCCGCTCAGCAAGGAAGAAGCCACTGCTCCAAAACTGCCATAAAAAAGCCAGACTACGGTTTGCAACTGCACATGGGACAAAGATTGGACTTTTTGGAGAAATGTCCTCTGGTCTGATGAAACAAAAATAGAACTGTTTGGCCATAATGACCATTGTTATGTTTGGAGGAAAAAGGGTGATCTTACAAGCCAAAGAACACCATCCCAACCGTGAAGCACGGGGGTGGCAGCATCATGCTGTGGGGGTGCTTTGCTGCAGGAGGGACTGGTGCACTTCACAAAATAGATGGCATCATGAGGAAGGAAAATGATGTGGATATATTGAAGCAACATCTCAAGACATCAATCAGGAAGATAAAGCTTGGGGACAATGACCCCAAGCATACTTCCAAAGTTGTGGCAAAATGCCTTAAGGACAACAAAGTCAAGGTGTTGGAGTGGCCATCGCAATGCCCTGACCTCAATCCTATAGAAAATGTAAAGGCAGAACTGAAAAAGCGTGTGCGAGCAAGGAGGCCTACAAACCTGACTCAGTTACACCAGCTCTGTCAGGAGGAATGGGCCAAAATTCACCCAACTTATTGTGGGAAGCTTGTGGAAGGCTACCCGAAACGTTTGACCCAAGTTAAACAATTTAAAGGCAATGCTACCAAATACTAATTGAGTGTATGTAAACTTCTGACCCACTGGGAATGCGATGAAAGAAATAAAAGTTGAAATAAATAATTATCTCTACTATTATTCTGACATTTCACATTCTTAAAATAAAGTGGTGATCCTAACTGACCAAAGACAGGGAATTTTTACTAGGATTAAATGTCAGAAAAATGTTGTGAAAAACTGAGTTTAAATGCATTTGGCTAAGGTGTATGTAAACTTCAGAGTTCAAATGATGTCAATTAGCCTATCAGAAGCTTCTAAAGCCATGACATCATTTTCTGGAATTTTCCAAGCTGTTTAAAGGCACAGTCAACTTAATGTTTATGTTTATTTTTATTTATTTTTTGTTTTATTTTACCTTTATTTAACTAGGCAAGTCAGTTAAGAACAAATTCTTATTTACAATGACGGCCTACACTGGCCAAACCCGGACGATGCTGGGCCAACTGTGCGCCGCCCTAATGGACTCCCAATCACCGTCGGTTGTGATACAGCCTGGAGTCGAACCAGGGGGTCTGTAGTGACGCCTCAAGCACTGAGATGCAGTGCCTTAGACCACTTCTGACCTACTGGAATTGTGATACAGTGAATTATAAGTGAAACAATCTGTCTGTAAGCAATTGTTGGAAAAATTACTTGGGTCATGCACAAAGTAGATGTCCTAACCGACTTGCCAAAACTATAGTTTGTTAACAAGAAATTTGTTGAGCGGTTGAAAAACGAGTTTTAATGACTCCAACCTAAGTGTATGTAAATTTCCGACTTCAACTGTATATATATATATTTTTTATTTTATTTGTATTTTTCTTAGCATTAAATGGAAACACGAGTTTGGCCATTCTTTGGTTTGAGGATCATGCTGTGAGCTATGCATGACTAGTTTGTTAATTTAGCCTAGCAGATGCTCTTATATTCCCATGCCCTAATCACAGTCAACACAAATCTATTTTGTAACAACAATATCATGGAATAAAATAGAAATTTAGAGTTTCCCAAATGAAACAAAGTTACAAGTGCATATAGGCCTACGTGATGATATGGGACTGCTGTGTTAATCAACAAATGGCACATTCATTGATGATCAGATACTTCAGTGGTAACTGGTTCTGTTGAGCTACATTTGTACAGTTGATAGACAACTTTAGCACTGCTCCAAACTTAGACTATCCTCTTTTTTAACAATAGCATGTATAGATTCATGCAGCGCTTTTATCATAATAGATATATTTTCACCTCTACCCAACTTCCTGTTGAAGAGGTCTTACCTTGTTGTGAAGGTGCCACGTCTGATAGTCTCCTTCTGTACATTTCTGTTGAAGATGGACTTGTAGTCTATCTTTATAATCTGCCACTCTGACCTATGGCTGAAGTGTCCAAAAAACCTTGAGAAAGCAAAGTAAGATAACCTCACTGTTCCTTCCTACCCCTGCTCCCTCCTCACCAAAAGGAACTGGGTCCCAAAAGAACCGAGGACAAAATAACATCATCCCCCATCTCTAGATAATTTATCACTACTATGTCATCCCTCCATTCCTCCATCGTCCCTACTCACGTCATGATCTGGTTCTCTGTCCCGGCCTCCACCAGCATCCCGTCCACGAACAGAGGCACCAAGGAGAAACTATGTCTGGTCCACTGCCGCCCCTCATCAAAACTGATCCTGGAACAGAGTGACAACACAATAACACATCAAATGAATCCCAAATGGCACCCAGGTCCTATAGGGCTCTGGTCTAAAGTAGTGTAGGCTGCTAGTAAATAGGGTGCCATTTGGGATGCAACAAATCCCATCTCATACAGTACATGACCAAAAGTATGTGGACACCTGCTCATCGAACATATCATTCCAAAATTATGGGCATTAATATGGAGTTGGTCCCCCCTTTGCTGCTATAACAGCCTCCACTCTTCTGGGAAGGCTTTCCACTAGATGTTGGAACATTGCTGCGGGGACATGCTTCCATTCAGCCACAAGAGCATTAGTGTGGTCGGGCATTGATGTTGGGCAATTAGGCCTGGCTCGCAGTCTGCATTCCAATTCATCCCAAAGGTGTTCGATGGGGTTGAGGTCAGGGCTCTGTGCAGGCCAGTTAAGATCTTCCACATCGATCTCAACAAACAATTTCTGTATGGACCTCGCTTTGTGCACGGGGGTATTTACTTGCTGAAAAAGGAAAGGGCCTTCCCCAAACTGTTGCCACAACATTGGAAGCACAGAATTGTCTAGAATGTCATTGTATGCTGTAGCATTAAGATTTCCCTTCACAGGAACAAAGGGAACTAGCTCGGACCATGAAAAACAGCCCCAGACCATTTTTCCTCCTCCACCAAACTTTACAGTTGCCACTATGCATAAGGAAGGTAGTGTTCTCCTGACATCCGCCAAACACAGATTAGTCTGTCGGACTGCCAGATGGTGAAGTGTGATTCATCACTCCGGAGAATGCGTTTCCACTGCTCCAGAGTCCAATGGCGGCAAGCTTTACACCACTCTAGCCGACGCTTGGCATTGCGAATGGTGATCTTAGGCTTGTGTGTTGCTGCTCGGCCATGGAAACACATTTCATGAAGCTCCCGACTAAGTTCTTGTAGTGATGTTGCTTCTTGAGGCAGTTTGGAACTTAGTAGTGAGTGTTGCAACTGAGGACAGACGCTCTTCAGCACTCAGCGGTCCCGTTCTGTGAGCTTGTGTGGCCTAAACTTTGCGAAATAGCCAAATCCGCTAATTTGAAGAGGTGTCCACATACCTTTGTATATATAGTGTATCTCTGAGTAAGAGTGCTGATCTAGGATCAGTTTTGCCTTTTAGATCATAATGAATGAGTCACAGACCGGGGAGATTTGATCCTAGATCAGCATTCCTACTCTGAATCCCAACCCTGATGCACTCAATTACAGTGAGTCAACTTGGTTCATGGAAGATCAGCGGAGTAAATAGTCTCAATAGACAGTCAGCCAATGAATCTCAGGTTGCATCTAATTGACTACAGTTAACACACGTTCTGCTGAATAGAAGAAGAAGAAGAAAAAATAGAACTCTCTGACTATCAAAGCTTGGAGGCATAACAACTTGAAGGGAAAACAACAACGTCATGGGTCTTAGGTTAACTTACAGTCTATAGTGAGGTGGAGAAGAAGAAAAACATAGGACATTACAAACCGGAATAGAACCGTTTCATGTTCTAACGACTACAAAACAGGGGTGGAGCGGTGGGGGGAGACACAAGAAAAAAAAAAAAAGAGATTAGGAAACTTTCATTCTCCGGGCCTGTTCTCTATTGATTCTGACAGCTCATCAACATCACTTCAGATGTTAGAACACTGGAGGACTGTGTGTGACAAGGTTGGGAACAACACTCAACAATGCAGAGCCTTGCACTAGGATACAAGAAGCATCCCCCTTGTTGCAGCTTCCATCCAAACCTCCGTCAGCCAGCATGCCTTCATCTGGCTAAAAGTTCAAACAACAGACAAAGCATTGAAACACATCTAATAGGAGGATACCAGCTGGGAGGAGAGAAAGAGAGAGAGAGAGCGCGAGAGAGAGAGAGAGAGAGAGAGAGAGAGAGAGAGAGAGAGAGAGAGAGAGAAACCACGGACGATTGGCTCCTACAGCGCTTGACTGGGTTCAAACAGTATTTATTATACTTTAGCTGCCCATTACTGAGCTTGCCTGGCCTAATGGATCCAATGGAATTGCCCAAAATTCCAAATCCCGCCCATCTGGCACTCCATACAATTAAGTAGCTCAATTAAACTCTGAAAGAAAACAAATACTATTTGAACCCTGGTCTGCTATGAGGGCTTCTACTGTGTTCCTTTCCTCAACTAGTGCACGTAAATAGTCTAGGAGACACAACCATTAAGGAAGGGCATCCTGCACACTTGATTGGCGCTAAAAGTATGATTTATTTTTTCCTAAAGTGATATAAGAAGAAGAGACCTGGGCACTCCAATTTAGAAGAGGATGGGCAATGTGTTAAAGTACTAAAAGGGGGAATTGGTGAAGAAACAATTTAGTATCTTTATTGCATATGTTTGTGCTTTGCAAGTTGTTCCAAACTTGAAAACTGTCTTTAATCAACAGATAAAGTTACGTAACATTTTTGACATCAATATAAGTATTAACATGTTGATTTAGGTTTAAACCTACTGTAAATGTCTGGTGGGGACGGTTGGTTGTTTCACAGCGACTAGGGCCCCTCCTTTATCCAGAAATCAGACTTTGTGTTTGTCACGAGAATTTCTATCTCTAATTAATCAAACTTAATGCTCTGAATAATTCCCAGAGGGTGTAAATTCTCTGGTTTAATCATGAATTAAACAAAGGTCCGCCACCAGCAAGAATGATCTGTATTTTTATTCATGGAGAGCTCTGGCGCCTAAAAACATACATACAGCTTATATATTCCTTGACACACAAAGGCACTTTGCTCCGCCCACCTATAAACCTTTCTTAGTCCCCTTCACCCTAGAATGCTTTCAACCGTTTCTAACTCCCCCCCTCTGTTAGTGGGTTGACACTACATTATAACTCTAACACCGTTCACACATTTACACTGTATTTGGGGTGAAATCCTTTAGTCATTATTCTTAAAATACAAATTAATCTATCAATCCACCCCTTTGACTAAATATTTTCACATTCAGGATAAATGTATTTACAAGCATGATTAATCTCAGAGATTACGTCAGAACTAATAAACATTTCATCCAATGGCGGTCTTTCAGGGTCAAAATCCTCATCATCCACCAAGCCTGGAGGATAGTTTTTCACATTCCCCTGGTCAGAGTCCGGAGTCGGTCCATCTCTCATCATTGTTGAGATACTGCATTTCACCAACGCCTTACTCACCAATCCTCGGACACAGGGAATAAGACAACAACCACATAATACAAGAATACCCATACAAACACTGACCGCCCCTAAAATGGTGGCTGCTATGGTTTTCCATTTACCAACCATTTCATCAAACCACCCTATCCACGATGTACTAACTTCTGAGTTCTCAGTTCATTCTTCACTTAGTGCAGTTAATTCTGCAAGAGCTCTGGTGACTGTCCCATCCAGTGTGGTGTTGTTAGGGATAAATGTGCAACAATGGCTTATCATTCTATAGACATTGGCCCTTTCTGCCTGATCTAGAGCCAACCTCTTTTACTAAGTCATGAGTGGGATGGCGGATAATTTCAGAAATCCCTTTTACTGCATCCCTAGTCCCGCCAATAAATTGTTGTTGGTCGTAATAGATATAATTAATCCACCTCACAATCTTGTTTATTGTCACCCACCAGAAACATTTTGTGGTAAAACCCTCCCATATTTGATTCATAGCTTTGTATTCGTCTGGAACACCCCTGGGGATGCCTATTCCATCTATCCAAATTGGGTTATTTCCTTCCTGACCTATATTTCTTCTCCTCCTGATTATTCTTCCTGTCACTGGTCTTTGATGACTAATTCTTACAGGTTGGACCAACAATACTGGGGCACAAGTACCCACCCATCCTTCTGGTAATGTCTGTCTAATGCTCCCTTTGTTAGTACATGCCCACCACACATCAGTCAGAGGGATGGTAAGGTTCATAATTTTTTTCCCCCCTCCCATATCTAAATCAGTCACATTAATTATCTCCTTACAGCCATCAAAATCACCCAAGTTACGTGTGCCATTTCTATGTCTGTAACACTGGTATTCGCCAGGAGTTAAAGTGAACCTAGGTGGGCTAGCCGAGTAAGTCAACTTTGCTAGCCCAATTCCTGTGCAATTGTGCTCTTTTTGATTGGACCCCAGGTCTAATACACAGGTAAACATTTCCTTTGGCACTGGGGCGGTCAACATTGTCGGTCGCCCAATGGAGCATGCTTAACAATTGGTCTCCCACAAGGCCCTAGCAGTGTACTTCATCCACTTTAACCAGAGATTTTCATCCGGGACTCCCTCTACTTCCCCTTGGTTCCATTCTTGGAGGATAAAATATTTTATCGTGGACGGGTTAGTTGAATTGACTCCGTCATCCTTTGACTGATTTACTCGGTCAATCGCTATTAATGGATTAATGACAGGACCTGGGCCCTCCATCTCTTTCGACTCCACCAAATGTAATCGTAGACAGGTATCGCGTCCGTATTCGTCCGCGCAAGCCCAGTAAGTTATTTTCATGTCCTCTTTAGTGACCTTTACTATTGTTACTACCATCTCCGTGGGGATGTCTTTATACCTTCTTATCCTCCATCTGGACGTCAACCCCCCCCCCCCCCCCCCCCCCCGTCCGTCCGTCCGTCCGTCCGTCCGTCTCATATCTCCATCCCCCAGTATGTCTAAACACCTGAGCCCAGGAACAATCCGCCGAGGGAGCTGAACATAAATACAATGGAATTCTATAATCCCACGTTGCTTGCTTATTGACATGTACCCTACCCATTGGCTACGTCCCTAACCCTTATTTTGAATCTGACAGTCTGCCCTTCTCTGACTCCCATTTTGTAGGCCACTCTTCCTTGACGGTCAGTATATCGGGTCGCTTCTCTTCTCTTTTACTTCTTAACAGTGGTAAGGGCATAGCGTAATTGGTGGTGGATCTTGACATATCAAGACCATTGCTGAGACTATGATGCAGCTCAAGTCACCCATATTCCCAAAAACCGCCAACCCTCTCCTGTCCTCAGTCTTTCTGCTTGGTATCACCCCATACTCACACCCTGAGAACACACTACAGTGATGATAGGTCGGGGTAGGTGATCTTTTTCAAACTCGTTAACGTCTTTATCGTTCATAAGATTCATCACCGGCCTGTTTATAACCTTAACGTCGAAGGCCAGGTCTATTCTATACGGATGCTATCATCCGCCCGTGCACGGTTTTCGGTGTCCTCAGAACGATAAAGACGTATTTTAAGATCCGGCTCGAAGGACCATTTGTCACGAGAATTTATATCTCTAATTAATCAAACTTAATGCTCTGAATAAGAGGGTGTAAATTCTCTGGTTTAATCATGAATTAAACAAAGGTCCGCCACCAGCAAGAATGATCTGTATTTTTATTCATGGAGAGCTCTGGCGCCTAAAAACATACATACAGCTTTTATATTCCTTGACACACAAAGGCACTTTGCTCCACCCACCTATAAACCGTTTCTTAGCCCCTTCACCCTGGAATGCTTTCAACAGTTTCTAACTGGGGGGGCTCTGTTAGTGGGTTGACACTACATTATAACTCTAACACCGTTCACACATTTATACTGTATTTGGGGTGAAATCCTTTAGTCATTATTCTCAAAATACAAATTAATCTATCAGTATTCCTCCTCGAATATCTGAAAGGGGACACAGAGGCAATTCAATATAATATAATATTTACATGTCTAAAATACTTATTCTCCAGACTACAATATTCAGTGTTTTCCTTGAATGCCTTAGATTTAACCCCCAGATTCAGACTAAACTGACCTGTTTCCAGTTGTTACCTGCATCAGATGAGATGAACATTCCAACGTTATTGTACCACCGCTCAGACCCAATTTTCCCTGTGATAAAAATACAACAAAGAATGAGTTTTGAGCTGCATCGTGTTTGTCAGGTTCACCAACTGATCTCTGCACCAGCTGACTTGTGTGTGTGTGTGTGTGTGTGTGTGTGTGTGTGTGTGTGTGTGTGTGTGTGTGTGTGTGTGTGTGTGTGAGGGCGCAGGGTCGAGTGATGAACTGGGCCGAAGCAGAGGGTTGTGTAGAGATAGCCGAACACACACTCACAAACAAACATAATCTGTTGTGTCATGTGTCCTCAGTCTGCACTGGCCCACTTAAATAAACCGGATGACTTTGCGTCACCAAAACCTAACATCTGTGAGTAAGACCAACATCAGAAGTGTGATAGTGTGTCTCTGGCCAGATTCAGTACAGTTATACAGGCTCACTGTGGTTTAGGGATCTCACAGATCCAGTACGAGATTAGAGGATAGGAGGAGAGAACAAACTATTGTTTTGGTGACAGAGCAAAGATTATTTGAGGACAGAGATCAAGAAAGCAGATTATTTGTTTGTTGCTAAAACACAATATTCTTTCCACACAATCGATGATGAGTTGTTTATAACAGGACTGATAGACAGCTATTCTCTTTTTGTACCATTTCCTAAATTTAATAGATGTCTTTCTATTCAGCCAAATGAATTCCACATAAGTGGACAATAAGGTAATCTAATCTAATCTTATCTATCAAATGGTCATTCTGTATTCTCTCAACTGTGGCCACTTTAATTCCTGGTGCTGAGGCCTTGGTTGATATGCTGCCTGACAGGTAGGGGTTTTCAAATGTCTGCAGTTGGAGATGGAGTGAACAGAAGGGCTGAGGGGTGAGAAATGACAGACAGTCCATTATATTTGACGAAGCCATTATACACTGGTCAGTCAAATCCCCAATGTTACATAGAACACTACAGGGTTGATCTATATAGGTGCACAAAGCATATGCGTTTTGTTTCAAGAGAAGGTCCTTTAGATAAGGAAAATAAAATCTGCTATGCTGTCTTTATCAGGCTTTCATCTCAGAAACCCTGAAGATACTGCCTAATAGAATCCTTTTGATTCTGAAGTCTTCCAGTGAGTTACATTTACACCAAATGCTAACAGCAATGCTAACATAGTCAGTTAACTATACAACAAACTATATTTGGTTAACAAAACATGAAAAAATCTAAACACAACCAAGCCAATTCCCGCAGCCTCCCTCTGAAAAACCATGCTGCGTCTCCATAGTTTGTCGTAATAATATAGAGACATAGGGAAGATTTTATATCTGTTCACAGAGCCCCCACAAAAAATGTCTGCTTTCATCTTTGCCAATTGATAGCGTGACATTGCTGTAAGGACACCAAGGGCAATGGGATTTAACAGGGTAATCAAAAGAAATCTGTAATTAGAACGTCACGTGAATGCACAATTGTATTCAACCTGTAGCCCACTCAGCGCACACCGTGCAGCCTCCACAATTGCCTCCCTAGGCTTTTAAGCAGTATTAACTCTTACTGCTAATGTCTCAAAGTTATTTCTCTACATAGTCATCCTTTACAGTCGCCTCACGTGGGATAAAAGGAAAGATAGGGCACATAAATTAATAATAACTTTAAATAATAAGGAGTGTGTACACAATTCATCTTCATATCATAGCTTAAATGTGATTATGTAAAGTAATTTCCCTTCCCTTAAGATGAGTAAGCAAACTCCCTTGAGTGTGTGATGTAACACACAGTTATCATTGATGTACATAACTTGAAGGGAACTGAACACATATTCCTTTACTAAAATGAACTTTCAATCGAGATTCTCTATTGAGTATGCCGTTTTAGTTCTGGAGTAGGCTTAATCTGGTCTAGGAAAGCACCTCAAATAGTTCAGGCAGTCTTAGATCATGTATGATTACCACAGCGATGAGCCTTCCCTGTTAGCTTCAGTATAACTCACCAGTACGCAGTGGATGTCGTTGCCAGCCAGGTCTGTCGCCGGGGCCTGCAGTAACCTCCAATCATGGCCCTTGTTGTAGGTGATGTAGGTCTTCACCTGGTTGTCTAGCCTCCTGTTAGCGATCAGCATGCCTTTGATACCTGCTACCTAGGGAGAAATAGAGAACAAATGCTAAAACAGACGCTAAAACTAGCCAATCCAACCACCAAAACAGATGACATGGTGTTTCTTCATTTTCTTTGTCAAGCAGTACACAGTACCCAAAATAACCCATGACAGACGTAGCTGTGGGAAGTAGGGATCAGTGGCGGCTCCTGAAAAAATTCTCAGGGGGGGCAATTTTTCTGATGATTTAGGTGACCTACACACATTTTAAAAAAGATATGTCCAGCAACAACATGAAGACAGGGGCAGCATATAAGTCAATACCAGAAGCATTTATTGACTGATCTCAAAAGTGTTGGCTTACCAGGGTTGGTGGAGCCCTCAGTTTCATCTTTGCCTCGCAAAGCTAACTCAAACACTCCGCAAAACTTCACACACTGGATTAGCCGGCTGAGGATGTGGCGGTTCTTGCTAATGTCGTAGTAAATATATTTGTTATAGTGAATATGGAATATGATATGTTGAGTAAAATGTTGTGCTAAGATCTATTTAGGTCAGGAGCTGGTTATAAGTTCTGTTCCTATCCAATAACAATGGACAAAAGGGTCCTATCTTGTCAGCCTTGTCAGTTTCAGTTCTCCAGTAAACTTGTGATTATCAACACTAACCTCATCGTTGTGGCGGCGGACAGCTAGCCTGTATCCCTCATCCAGTTGAGTGGGAATGTTCACTCTCCCCAAAGCAGACAATCTCAAACAGCTATCCATGTGGGTCTTTGACAGCTCATGTTTCTTAATCTTTCCTGAAAGATGGTGCATGTCCGTTACACACCAGTCGCTGTCCAAGCGGTGCTGTCTGCCGTGCTGCCTTCAGGGTGAAAGAGTAAGCAGGGGGTAGCAGAAGACTGCATTAGCTACATCGCAGCCTGCTAGCCAGGTTTTTCGTTCGTACCAATTTTTGGAAAATCCTCGGGTGTAGGACTTCCCCCCTTTAGTAGAAACCTGTTGAATTATTAAATTTGGTCTGGGAGGTCCTAATTGTTTCGTTGCCAATTTATCTTCATTTGTTCGCCGACAAAAAGGAACTTCTTTCAAAGACACAATCGAGTTGCACTGAAGCCTAGCCATTTTGATAGTAGTAGTGAATTGATTGACGAGGCTACCCGCTCTTTTCTTAGTTACGTTCATGGTTATGTTACGTATGACGAAAGCGCGTAAGTGCAAGCCCTCAGAAACCCGTAGAGATTGTATTGAAAGCTCTGATATTTGAAAAAAATAGATTTTACATGGGAGTCTATGACAGACTTCTGGGCGATTTTCAACCTGACTGAAATCGCCCCAAAAGGGGGGGGGGGCATTTGAAGCACGACTTTAGCCTGATTGGACATTTAGTGGCACTGTGGCAGATCAGACGTTTTTACAACAGATTACAACACTGATAACTACTGTTGCCGTGATATAATTGATTAGAAAAAAAATCCCTTCCTTTTCCCGTTTGGCAGTGCGTCGCCCATATCGCCCTATTGAACACACCGCCCCTGGTAGGGATGCTGAGGGTGCTGCAACACCCCCTGAAAAATCTTATAAATAAAAAAAAATTAATACAAATAAATATATATATACAGTATATATATATATATACACACACATAATTTCTCGCATGGAATAGCCTTCATTTCTCAGAACAAGAATAGACTGACGAGTTTCAGAAGAAAGTTATTTGTTTCTGGCCATTTTGAGCCTGTAATCGAAACCACAATTGCTGATGCTCCAGATACTCAACTAGTCTCATGAAGGCCAGTTGTATTGCTTCTTTAATCAGCACAACAGTTTTCATCTGTGCTAACATAATTGCATAAGGGTTTTCTAATGATCAATTAGCCTTTTAAAATGATAAACTTGGATTAGCAATAATGGTGGTAACTGATGGTTGCTGATAATGGGCCTCTGTACGCCTATGTAGATATTCCATTAAAAATCAATAAGCCGTTTCCAGCTACAATAGTCATTGACAACATTAACAATGTCTACGCTGTATTTCTGATCAATTTGATGTCATTTTAATGGACAAAAAAATTGCTTTTCTTTTGAAAACAACAACATTTCTAAGTGACCCCAAACTTTTGAACGGTAGTGTATACAGTTGAAGTCGGAAGTTTACATACACTTAGGTTGGAGTCATTAAACTCGTTTTTCAACCACTCCTTGTTAACAAACTATTGTTTTGTCAAGTCGGTTATGACATTTACTTTGTGCATGACACAAGTAATTTTTCCAACAATTGTTTACAGACAGATTATTTCACTTATAATTGACTGTATCACAATTCCAGTGGTTCAGAACTTTACATACACTAAGTTGACTGTGCCTTTAAAATTCCAAAAAATGATGTCATGGCTTTAGAAGCTTCTGATAGGCTAATTGACATAATTTGAGTCAATTGGAGGTGCACCTGTGATTGTATGTCAAGGCCTACCTTCAAACTCAGTGCCTCTTTGCTTGACATCATGGGAAAATCAAATGAAATCAGCCAAGACCTCAGAAAAAAATTTGTAGACCTCCACAGGTCTGGTTCATCCTTGGGAGCAATTTCCAAACGCCTGAAGGTACCACGTTCATCTGTACAAACAATAGTACGCAAGTATAAACACCATGGGACCACGCAGCCGTCATACCGCTCAGGAAGGAGACACGTTCTGTCTCCTAGAGATGAACGTACTTTGGTGCGAAAAGTACAAATCAATCCCAGAACAACAGCAAAGGACCTTGTGAAGATGCTGGAGGAAACAGGTATCCACAGTAAAACAAGTCCTATATCGACATAACCTGAAAGGCCGCTCAGCAAGGAAGAAGCCACTGCTCCAAAACCGCCATAAAAAAGCCAGACTACGGTTTGCAACTGCACATGGGGACAAAGATCGTACTTTTTGGAGAAATGCCCTCTGGTCTGACGAAACAAAAATAGAACTGTTTGGCCATAATGACCATCGTTATGTGTGGAGTAAAAAGGGGGTCGCTTGCAAGCCGAAGAACACCATCCCAACCGTGAAGCACAGGGGTGGCAGCATCATGCTGTGGGGGTGCTTTGCTGCAGGAGGGACTGGTGCACTTCACAAAATAGATGGCATCATGAGGAAGGAAAATTATGTGGATATATTGAAGCAACATCTCAAGACATGTTGCAGGAAGTTAAAGCTTGGTCGCAAATGGGTCTTCCAAATGGACAATGACCCCAAGCATAATTCCAAAGTTGTGGCAAAATGGCTTAAGGACAACAAAGTCAAGGTATTGGAGTGGCCATCATAAAGCCCTGACCTCAATCCTATAGAACATTTGTGGGCAGAACTGAAAAAGCGTGTGTGAGCAAGGAGGCCTACAAACCTGACTCAGTTACACCAGCTCTGTCAGGAGGAATGGGCCAAAATTCACCCAACTTATTGTGGGAAGCTTTTGGAAGGCTACCCCAAACCTTTTACCCAAGTTAAACAATTAAAAGGCAATGCTACCAAATACTAATTGAGTGTACGTAAACTTCTGACCCACTGGGAATGTGATGAAATAAATAAAATCTGAAATAAATCACTCTCTACTATGTTATTCTGACATTTCACATTCTTAAAACAAAGTGGTGATCCTAACTGACCTAAAACAGGGAATTTTTACTAGGATTAAATGTCAGGAATTGTGAAAAACTGACTTTAAATGTATTTGGACAAGGTGTATGTAAACTTCCGACTTTAACTGTAAATACATCCCATGATGTCAAGCAAAGAGGCACTGAGTTTGAAGGTAGGCCTTGAAATACATCCACAGGTACACCTCCAATTGACTCAAATGATGTCAATTAGCCTATCAGAAGCTTCTAAAGCCATGACATCCAAGCTGTTTAAAGGCACAGTCAACTTAGTGTATGTAAACTTCTGACCCACTGGAATTGTGATACGGTGAATTATAAGTGAAATAATCTGTCTGTAAACTATTGTTGGAAAAATTACTTGTGTCATGCACAAAGTAGATGTCCTAACCGACTTGCCAAAACTATAGTTTGTTAACAATAAATTTGTGGAGTGGTTGAAAAACGAGTTTTAATGACTCCAACCTAAATGTACAGTCATGGTCAAAAGATTTGAGAATGACACAAGCATTGGTCTTCACAAAGTTCGCTGCTTCAGTGTTATGAGATATTTTTGGTAGATGTTACTATGGTATACTGACATATAATTACAAGCATTCCATAAGTGTCAAAGGCTTTTATTGACAATTGAATTAAGTTTATGCAGAGTCAATATTTGCTTTGACCCTTCTTTTTCAAGACCTCTGCAATCCGCCCTGGCATGCTGTCAATTAACTTCTGGGCCACATCATGACTGATGGCAGCCCATTCTTGCATAATCAATGTTTGGAGTTTGTCAGAATTTGTGGGTTTTTGTTTGTCCGCCCGCCTCTTGAGGATCGACCACAAGTTCTCAATGGGATTACGGTCTGGGGAGTTTCCTGGCCATGGATCCAAAATGTCTATGTTTTGTTCCCCGAGCCACTTAGGTGCTCCATCATGCTGGAAAAGGCATTGGTCATCACCAAACTGTTCTTTGATGGTTGGGAGAAGTTGCTCTCAGAGGATGTGTTGGTACCATTCTTTATTCTTGACTGTGTTCTTAGGCAAAACTGTGAGTGAGCCCACTTCCTTGGCTGAGAAGCAAACCCACACATGAATGGTCTCAGGATGCTTTACTGGTGGCATGACACAGGACTGATGGTAGCGCTCACCTTGTCTTCTCCGGACAAGGTGTTTTCCGGATGCCCCAAACAATCGGAAAGGGGATTCATCCGAGAAAATGACTTTACCCCAGTCCTCAGCAGTCCAATCCCTGTATATCAGTCTGTCCCTGATGTTTTTCCTGGAGAGAAGTGGCTTCCTGGCTGCCCTTCTTGACACCAAGCCATCCTCCAAAAGTCTTTGCCTCACTGTGCTTGCAGATGCACTCACACCTGCCTACTGCCATTCCTGAGCAAGCTCTGCACTGGTGGTGCCCCGATCCCGCAGCTGAATCAACTTTAGGAGACGGTCCTGGCGCTTGCTGGACTTTCTTGGGCGCCCTGACGCCTTCTTCACAACAATTGAACCTCTCTCCTTGAAGTTCTTGATGATCCGATAAATTGTTGATTTAGGTGCAATCTTACTAGCAGCAATATCCTTGCCTGTGAATCCCTTTTTGTGCAAAGCAATGATGACGGCACGTGTTTCCTTGCAGGTAACCATGGTTAACAGAGGAAGAACAATGATTTCAAGCACCACCCTCCTTTTAAAGCTTCCAGTCTTTTATTCTAACTCAATCAGCATGACAGAGTGATCTCCAGCCTTGTCCTCGTCAACACTCTCACTGACATGATGGCAGCTGGTCCTTTTTTGGCAGGGCTGAAATGCAGTCAAAATGTTTTTGGGGGATTAAGTTCATTTTCATGGCAAAGAGGGACTTTGCAATTAATAGCTATTCATCTAATCACTCTTCATGACATTCTGGAGTATATGCAAATTGCCATCATCAAAACTGAGGCAGCAGACTTTGTGAAATGTATTATTTGTGTCATTCTCAAACCTTTTGACCACGACTGTATGTAAACTTCCGACTTCAACTGTATATATACTGTATATATAGAAAAATATATATTTCTTCACAAAAGTAGTGCACTGAGCTTTTAGTAGTCCTGTATTACGGACCGATATAGCTTTCTGTAACGCCGGGCAAATTATAATCATAATTTTTATTTATTTTTTATTCTCACAAAAGTAGTGCGCTGGGCCTTTACTAGTCCTGTTTTAGCGGACCAATATAGCTGTCTGTAGAGGGGGCAAAAAGATTCCCCCTGCAAAAAGTTCTCACCACCCCCACTCCCAAACATTTTCCTGCGGCCATGCTGACAGACATCAGACTGGTCACAAAACCAGTCTCCTTTTCCTTTAATTGTCTCCCTTTAATTGCGTCCCCGTCAACTGCCCACCACTGTTGTCACTACAGTACAACGCTGGACGTTAAAACTGATAAACTGTCACCTCCACGTGACACCCACTCACAAAGTGAGAGAGAAACAGAGAGAGAGAAAGAGAGAGAGAGAAAGAGAGAGAGAGAGAGAGAGAGAGAGAGAGAGAGAGAGAGAGAGAGAGGAGAGAGAGAGAGAGAGAGAGAGAGAGAGAGAGAGAGAGAAAGAGAGAGAGAGAAAGAGAGCAGTCATGGCTCCTTTCCTCCTTAGTCAAACTGTTTTCCTACGATAACCCATCCAGGATGGAAGTGTGATGGGGGTAAACCTGACGACTGTGCTTTAAATAAGACCTATTCTGCAGCAGACATTGAGGGCCTACTGTCGTATCACACTTCCTGAGGGGCCTCAGGGGCCCTTTCAGTATAAGTGGCACTAATAGGCGCCACGTTTGACATCGTCATAGAAACAAGACGGACTGGGATGGACATGGCTAATGAGGCCAGAGGGGGCCCCTCCTTCCCCTGACCAGACGTGTCAATCACAGAGGTAATTATTTATCATCCCCCACACCCATCCCTCTATCCCCTCTTCCAACCACGATCCCTCCTTCCCTGCTGTAGTGAAGGACAGGGACACTGAGATCTCCACTCTGGAATGGCAACTTTTATCATAATCAGATGTGTAATATCAGGGAGTGTGGGCTAGTACTACAGTATTGATGGAGATGCTACCTCTCTGTCAAGGTATATCACAGTGGGAGAACAGGCTAGGTAGAGTACAAGGTCAAAAAACACTGCCGGCAACAGCTACAGTACACTTCCTGCAAGCTAATATTTTAACTATGTACTAAATCAAAACTTTTACAGTACTAATAATGATAGCCATAAGTACATTACTATGATGATTGTTGGCATCAATGTCTCATTGACTATAAGAGTGACATCTAGTTATATGTGTAGACCTATGTGTGGCTGTCATCTGGTAATAGTACATATGGAAATACAGGTATCTGCCACAATAAAGGAAACACTTAAGTAAATTAGGGTTCTGGTGGCTCTGTTATGGTGTGGGGTGCTTTTTCCTGGCATGGTTTAGGTCCACTCACCACCTTAGAGGGCAAGGTAAATGCCGAATAAATACACAGCCATTCTGAGTGATAAACTTTAACCTACGGTGAAGTAGTTCTATCCTGATGGGAGTGGTCTCTTCCAGAATGACAATACTCCCATCAACAGGGCACGAGTGGTCACTGAATGGTTTGATGAGCGTGAAAATGATGTAAACTATATGCCATGGCCGTCTCAGTCACTAGATCTCAACCCAATTGAACACTTATGGGAGATTCTGGAGCCGCACCTGAGACAGCGTTTTCCACCACCAACAAAACACCAAATTATGGAATTTCTCGTGGAAGAATGGTGTCGCATTCCTCCAATAGAGTTCCACACACTTGTAGAATCTATGCAAAGGCGCATTGAAGCTGTTCTGGCAGCTCAGCGCCCTATTAAGACACTTTATATTGGCAGTTTATTTTTTTATTTACCTAGGCAAGTCAGTTAAGAACAAATTCTTATTTCCAATGACGGCCTACACCGGAAAAACCCGGACGACGCTGGGCCAATTGTGCGCCACCCTATGGGACTCCCAATCACAGACGGATTGCGATACAGCCTGGAATCAAACCAGGGTCTGTTGTGAAGCCTCTGGTACTGAGATGCAGTGCATTAGACCGCTGCGCCACTCAGGAGCCAGTTAACTGTATGTGTGCATGTGGAAACGTACGCAAAACAACTCAATGTCCAGCACTCTAGTAATATTAAATATAGACTTATGTATGCATGTGGATCCATCTACATAGACAAAACAAACAACACAACAACTTTCAACACAGTAGCACTAGTATGATAAACGACCACTGAGAAACCAGACTTCCCTCAGTACATGCACTCGGTCTCCCCGCAGACAGCCTTTTACAAACTTTCAATATGCATTAATGAAGTTTCTGCAATCTATTAGAAATATGGATCCACTGCTGAATCAGAGGCTCTGAATAGTGTGGAAATTGCTAATACATACACACATACATACACACACACACACACACACACACACACACACACACACACACACACACACACACCGCTAGGCTAACAGAAAGGAGCAGCATCATCATGACCATTACATTACCTAAATCATCTAGCTAACACTCCCTCCCTCCATCCCTCCATCTCTTCCTCCCTCCCTCCTACCACTTACTCATTCAAAAGCTATTTATAGCTCTGAGTAAGTACGGAATCAGATAGTTCATCATTGGGCTGTTGTTGATTTGTAGTCCTACCACTCAGAGTATTAATTGTGTTAGGCAAGTAAGGATGTTCTGTAATATTCAGTGTTGAAGTGCATGCCTCTGGGAGATGGATTAAATCAAAAACCTAACTCTAAATGGCTAAGTTTAACTCGATTTTGATTGAAGGAAAGATTGTGCAGATTGAATCCAACTGACACTCAAATTACTCCCATTAGGCTAAAGTGGGAAACATATTTTTTTTATTCTGGTCAATAATATCCTTTCTTTGAGAGAGAGAAAGAGAAAACTGATGAGGGGCAATTAATTATTTGACGAGACCAGGGAGAAGAGTAAAATACTGTTGCTTTCACGCAGTCTCTCTGTTCCCTGTTGACCTCAAAGTACTTAGTGAATGATTCCTCTTTCAGAGTCTTTGAGGCCTCTGGGCTTCTGAAGCCCAACACTCCAGGGTTTGTGACAATAATACTTAGGACTCTTACAAAGTACTTTGGTCAGAATTATATCTAAAGTATTTTTCAGAGGAACTTAGAGGAATAGTCTGTCTCTTCCCCAAAAATATTATTAAAGTGAAACTTTGAAGCGCAACATACAGCATGACTTCAGTTTAAAATTGTTTGTGATTAGCACACGCATGCATACTCAGAGGGTTAAGCTAGTTAAAACAACGTAATGGAAAACTGGATTGGCGTCATTTTAACCAGTTTTACTCACTGGGTATGACCATCAATTTCAATACTAGCCTGTTTTTGTGAACCATTATCACACATGTTAGAAGAAGCAGCAGTAGTAGTAACATTGGTAATGACTGCTGACTCTGAAGATCAGACCCATATGTCACACCTCTACCTCCCTCCATCACACCTGCCAGTGTCTGGGTGATAAACTGGGGATTCATCCTGAGAAAGAAGGGAAGAAAGGAGGGGGGACGATCGACAATGAATGTTAATGTAATGACAATTGAATGTTAATGTAATGACACAGGGACACACTACAAGGCTATTACCAGTCCAGTGGTGTCGGTGATAGGTGTCATCCCACATGCACACACATACACACACACACACACACACACACAAACACACACACACACACACACACACACGTACACATGCACACACACACATACACACAATGTGAACACTTGCCTCGTACAGGTCCAGCATCTAGTTGCCCCCCAGGCCCCGGGTGGTCTTGACGTTCTCCATGGCCAGGGTGAAGAGGATGCCCCAGGTGTCGGAGAGGTACAGGTCGTAGGTGTCATTCTGGTTCCACTCCTGCACCGCCGCGAAGACCTGGTGCTCGTCTGTGCTGACGATGTGGAGGTCCTGGTGGCAGAAGATTTTTGGGGGTGTTTGTATCATTTGATTTACACAACATGCCTACCACTTTGAAGATGCAAAATATTTTTTATTGTGAAACAAACAAGAAATAAGACAAAAAAACAGAGAACTTGAGCGTGCATTACTATTCACCCCCCCAAAGTCAATACTTTGTAGAGCCACCTTTTGCAGCAATTACAGCTGCAAGTCTCTTGGGGTATGTCTCTATGAGCTTGGCACATCTAGCCACTGGGATTTTTGCCCATTCTTCAAGGCAAAACTGCTCCAGCGCCTTCAAGTTGGATGGGTTCCACTGGTGTACAACAATCTTTAAGTCATACCACAGTTTCTCAATTGGATTGAGGTCTGGGCTTTGACTAGGCCATTCCAAGACATTTAAATGTTTCCCCTTAAACCACTCGAGTGTTGCTTTAGCAGTATGCTTAGGGTCATTGTCCTGCTGGAAGGTGAACCTCCGTCCCAGTCTCAAATCTCTGGAAGACTGAAACAGGTTTCCCTCAAGAATTTCCCTGTATTTAGCGCCATCATCATTCCTTCAATTCTGACCAGTTTCCCAGTCCCCTGTGGGGATGGTGTTCTCGGGGTGATGAGAGGTGTTGTGTTTGCACCAGACATAGTGTTTTCCTTGATGGCCAAAAAGCTCAATTTTAGTCTCATCTGACCAGAGTACCTTCTTCTATATGTTTGGGGAGTCTCCCACATGCCTTTTGGCGAACACCAAACGTGTTTGCTTATTTTTTTCTTTAAGCAATGGCTTTTTTTCTGGCCACTCTTCCATAAAGCCCAGCTCTGTGGAGTGTATGGCTTAAAGTGGTCCTATGGACATATACTCAAATCCCCCCGCTGTGGAGCTTTGCAGCTCCTTCAGGGTTATCTTTGGTGTCTTTGTTGCCTCTCTGATTAATGCCCTCCTTGCCTGGTCCGTGAATTTTGGTGGGCGGCCCTCTCTTGGCAGGTTTGTTGTGGTGCCATATTCTTTCCATTTTTTAAGAATGGATTTAATGGTGCTCCGTGGGATGTTCAAAGTTTCCGATTTTTTTTATTTTATTTTTGTCATTTAGCAGACGCTCTTATCCAGAGCGACTTACAGGAGCAATTAGGGTTAAGTGCCTTGCTCAAGGGCACATCGACAGATTTTTCACCTAGTCGGCTCGGGGATTAGAACCAGCGACCTTTCGGTTACTGGCACAACGCTCTTAACCACTAAGCTACCTGCCGCCCCAACCCTGATCTGTACTTCTCCACAACTTTGTCAATGACCTGTTTGTAGAGCTCCTTGGTCTTCATGGTGCCGCTTGCTTAGTGGTGCCCCTTGCTTAGTGGTGTTGCAGACACTGGGACCTTTCAGAACAGGTGTATATATACTTATTTAGGGGTTTCATAGCAAAGGGGGTGAAAACATGTACACGCACCACTTTTCCGTTATTTATTTTTTTGAAGTTATTTTTTCACTTCACCAATTCGGACTATTTTGTGTATGTCCATTACATGAAATCCAAATAAAAATCAATTTAAATTACAGGTTGTAATGCAACAAAATAGGGAAAACTCCAACGGGGCTAAATACTTTTGCAAGGCACTGTATTTCTAGAGCTAAATCCTTTTGTTGCAGGGAGGAAACAAGGGGGAAAATTGATGGTTACTTCAAATCAAATCAAATATTATTTGTCACATGCGCCGTATACATCAGGTTTAGACTTTTCCGTGAAATGCTTACTTACGAGCCCTTTCACAACAATGCAGAGTTAAATGTAAGAAATATTTGCTAAATTAAAAAAAGTATGCAATCTGAATAATTGATCTACTGTATGTATCTCTGGAGGCGTGTGTTTATCACTGTAAAATTGTAAGGACAGACGCTGGGAGACGAGAAGCAAGTACAGGGAGTGAACATTTAATGAAAAAACAGACAGGAACAAAACACCGACAGCGTCTGGACAACGGAAACGAAACAACATTAATGCAGACACGGGGATCAAACTGAGGAACAGACAGATATAGGGGAGGTAACCAAACAGTGATGAAGTTCAGGTGAGTCCAATGAAGCACAGATGCGCGTAACGATGGTGACAGGTGTGCGTAATGATGGGCAGCCTGGCATAAATGTATCAATCATTATTCATCTTGCAACCCTCACCCAAGTAAACATGCATAACATTGTTTATGATGTAAAGATGTATACTTCACTGTCAGAGAGGAACATTGACGCGTAAGGAATTTAAATGGCTATTTCCTGACTTTTCTATTGAGGAAATCTCCTGGCTAGCATACAGAGGAAACTGCTCCTTTCACGTCCTCTCCTGTTGTCAATGCCCTTTGTGGTTTTGGAGGTAGACGTGGGTAAATATCTCATAGGGACAATCAATAGCCTCACTATTCTCTGTCAAGATAAATCTTTAACTCTCCCAAGCAATGCTCAGTGGCCTGTTATAGGAAAGTCATCCTTTTTTAATGTTTTTCTTTTATTTAATTTTAATATAAAAAATAAAAATAAACATTTTTTTTTGGGGGGGGGGAATGGATCAGCTTAATATTGCAGATAGATTGTATCTTCTATCAATGTAATTGTCTGCATCACTTCCAATCCCCCATGTTTTTTATTAGGGGTGTAACGATTCGTTTTAACAACGATTCGATTTGTATCACGATTCGTGGTTGTCGATATGATTCAAGGACGATATTGGTTCATTTAGAACGATACGATCCGAAACGATTCAGTGACTTGAAATCGATTCAGTAACCTTTTAGCCAAAAATTCAACCAGTGTGACTGAAATAAATACCTGGATACTGGACAGTGCAGGTGAAGTTTCCTAGATTCCTGTTTCTTGTAAGGACCGCAATGGTGGCTTGATAATTTCTCGCTCGTCGGCTTCTCCTCTGTCGTCCGCCATGCTATGTTTTTTTGTCTTTGCGCCTTTGCGCTGCTGCTGGCGCGGGGCGATGACGTCACGGATAGGCAGACTGAATCGAGTAATGTTTAAAGCCTTTATCATTAAAAGTGCTAAGAAAAAACATCCATATAAAGTCTGACGTGCTTAAATCCAATGGGTTATTTCCTAGTATTGATACAATCGATTTATTACATTTTAAAACGATGTTAGATTGATATATGTTGTCCAAAAGGCCAACTCGCCGAGCACAGATCGATGTAGTTGGATCATAGGAATATAAATCGATACATCGATGTAGTAGATGGATCGTTACACCCCTATTTTTTATATATATATTCCCCTTTATTACATTTCAACCCCACCATCCTTTCCCTACTTGGAGTAAATTAGTGAACAACAATGCCCAGGCCTCTACTTCCGGTCTATACTTACTATCTACACCTTATGGACAGAGTTAATTTTACAATAATTCTATTATATATATATATATATATATATATATATATATATATATATATATTTTTTTTTTTTTTTTTTTTTTTGCTCCTGAACTTCTTCTACTCTCAACCTCTCCGATCATTTTCATGATGTCCATCCGGTTTGCTTCTATATGCCATATCTTTCTAACTGTGCTCTTTCCCAAAAGATCCCAACATACAACCTATATACTTATTATGGACACAGTATGCTTACATTATTAGCTATCTTTGTTATTATTTGTTGTTATTTGTTATTAGTCCCATCCTTCAACTCTATTCAATACCATCCATATAGGATTTCTATTTGCCATATATATTTCAACCGTACTGTGATGTTTTACAAAAGTTCTGAACCTTTCTATTCTCATTGCTTCTACAGATTGTGAATTAAAAATAAACATTTTTGCTAAAAGTATTATTATATTATTGATTGATTGACTATGACTTTTCAGATCACCCAGTAATGCTATCTGCAAGGTTAGTTCCAGGTAAATATTGCAATCCTTTAGCCATTCCTGGACCTTTGTCCAAAAACAAGCTACAAATGGACAGAACCAAAACAAATTATCTAATGATTCTGTCTCTTCACAGCAAAATCTGCAGAGCTGGGAAGATTGTATCCCCCATATAAATAACATTCTATTGGTAGCAAGAATTTTATACAATAATTTAAATTGAAAGATTCTAATTTTTGAATCCGGTGTCGTTTTGCGTGTCAGTTCATAAACACTATGCCATGGGATCGGTACGTCAAAGATCTCTTCCCAACTATTTTGCAATCTATATGGGACGGCTGTCAATCCTTTGGTCCTTAAGTGAAACTGATATACTTTTTTATTTATCACAGTTTTCCTTAACCAATTATGTTCTTTAATGCAAGGCTGACAGACAAGTTCCTTACTTTCTCCCCCTTCCACTTTCCTCTTCCACTTTTGCGGTAAGGCTGCAATTATTTGGTTGTAATTTTGGGTAGAGCAGACATTTCCATATGTTTTTGTTAGCTGCATGTGCGACATAACTCCACCAGTCCTACCGATGATATCATTTACGAAGATTATACCTTTTTTAAACATTCTGTCAAAAAATAAAGTTTTTTTGTCAATTAGTATATTTGAATTTAACCACAATATTTGTTGCATTATTTGTTCTGTCGTTTCTGGAGGATTAAATAGAAATTGCAACCAACTTTCTATGGCTTGTTTTAGAAATAGTGACATTTGGGAGATTATTTCCTTTTCAAATAACTGAAAGTGAGAGGTTGTAATCTGAATAAAGGGAAAAAGGCCTTTCTTTAACATTGGGTGAGACAATCTTACTAATTTGCTTGAGAACCAGTTCGGATTTAAGTATAACTTTTGGATGACTGAAGATTTTAGTGATAGGTCTAATGCTTTAATATTTAATAATTTCAGTCCTCCGAATTCATATTCATTATATAAATATGCTCTTTT